TTTTGCTTATCATATGTACTCGTATAAGCCTTAAATATAACAAAAGTTTTTCTTATTGGTCAATATTTAATTTCTATATTTTTTTTAATATTCTTACACTACACTGCTACTGGTCAAGATCGAATTAATAAGTAAATCCTCCCTGCACTTGATGATCATTATCCTAATAGTATAGTCTATGGAGTTAATTATCTGACCGAATTAAACGCTCAAAAGGGATTAGTCATAATATACGATAGTTTACAATAAAAATATCCTTAGGTAGTAATTCTACCATCAAAATATTGTTATCACCGTCGAATAAAGTCACTGCATTATGGAATAAGCACAATGTAAGAATAACCAATGACTTTAATAGATCAGTTTTAAGAAAAATAAATAAATTCTTGTTTTTATATATATAATGTATTATAATCACTTCCCAATGTATTAATGTCATCATGGAAAATATCCAATTTTTTATCCAGACACAATTCAATCATGAATAGAGGTAGAAATAAACAGCTTGTTAATAATTTTTAATCGATAGCTATGTCGATAAAGTTTTACAATGAAGACTATGCTATAAGTTGATGATTTATTTACAGTGTTTTAACTGCTTTTCATCATTTATGAAATTTTAAGAACCCCCTTTAGACAGCTAGCCTTACTTCGATTTTAAATAGCGTACATGAATATGTAATTATCTTGCTTTAAAGATCTAATGATCAATTTTTACTTCTCCTAATTTTTCAAGATTACCATGATTACAATACCGCATAGACTTACTGGAATTTAATAAAACACCTGCCTCTAGTGTAAACTATGGCTAGTGATAACAATGAATTAGTTTATTATCGATTTAATGTTTAATTGTGACTTACTTTTAAATTAAAACAGTTTGGAATGTATTATTTTGCCCTTTGGAAAACTAATATCAATTGCTACACTCTGATTTACTAATCAATTATAAAATAATTATTTAATTTACTTAGATTTGGTAGATATTTCTTCTAAAACAAAGCTATATATTTCTTGGATTTTCTTCAGTTTTAGCGTATATTAATTGCTGTCTTAGGCTATAATTATAGGAATGGACTAAAAGGGTAATACCTTAGCAAAACATTGCTAGAATGAAGTAATTCTAAAATATTAACCGATTGCATTTTATTAGTTTGAAATTTTCTTTTTTATACCAAATCAAAAACAGCAAATAAATATTATTAAATAGAATTTATTCTCAAATTGTCTCAGTTCATTCCTGCGTAAAATTATTATCTATAAAAGTGAGATTTATTTCCTCTAAACAAATTGATAACTGATTATGGCCATGGTCTAAATGCAAGATTAATATTGATCATTATGGACTTACATCCACAATTATCAATCAACCTCATGAAAATCTATTTCGAATTTACAGAACAGCTGTTTTGAATAACTATAATCTATTTTCAAATTAATGAACCATAAAGGTATTTCTGTAGTAATAACCATTTCTATAGTATTATGTTATTTTTGGAATATTTGCTTAATAACTTTAAATGTGATTATAAAAATTTGCCTCAAAGATACTTGTATGTCAATAGATCTCTCATTAATTATGTATGCTCAGAAATCTCAGTATTTCGATGCCTGTGTCACGGCATTCGTATCACGAAGGGTTATGTGATGTATGTAGATTGTCAGTAATTAGTTAGATACCTAATTTACATGAGGTCTCAATGGTCAGATCGTGTTATGACTATGGTTAACCTCGTGTTATATGTGTGCTATAATGCATTTGAAGTAGAGCTTAAAGTATACTAATTTAGATCTAAGAAGATACGATACGATAACTGATAATGTTTATCAATATTAATTTTCATGTAAATATATATGCTGTGACTCATCGCGAATAGATAGAAGGTATAAAAGCGAGTTACTTTTTATAATAAAGAGTTCTGGTTTTGATATTTGAAAGTAAATTTTAAGCACTTTATGAAGATAAACGATATCATCTAATTTCAGTGAAGATTGTGGAATTGAGTATTTTTATATTATTATTGTATTTCTTCACCAATAGCTCGTAAATTCAATTTATCGCTTTATTTATGGCTAGCAACAAAATTTTATTTTTTAAGATCGTATCCATTGAGATTGATTGAGGAAGATATTTGAATTATGAGGCATTAATACTGTACGTATAAACTAAATCAAAAGTATTTATAATTGGTATTAATTAAAAGATCTTTAAAACTATGATGCTAAAAGTGAATTATGCACCCATATTTTGCTACAAATTAAATTATGATATACGTATCAACTTCTTAAACATATCGAAAATAAATATAGATCATAGACTTCTATATCACGCGTATAACAGTGACAATTTATCTACTCATTCTAGACCAAAAGTTTTTAGCACTGATGGACGTCATCATTTTGTATATTAAGTTACTTTTTGATCATTCTTGTCTTGAAATACTCAATAAAAATTTTTTTCTGTAATTTCTACCCTTTTTAATTAAAAACATTCGGATATTACAATCATAGATTTCTAGATCATACACGCGTACTAGATAGCTCAAAGTGGCGGTATAACAGCCCAGATTATATTCTTTTGCAGGCAGATTTAGTTATTTCTATACATTTAGTTAATTCCTGGCAATTCTGCATTAAAGGCGATCCACACAAGAGCCTTTATTACAATTTTAATCCTCTGTCGATTAAAAATAGTCATAGATGACAGATCAAAGTGCTAGCATTACGAAGGAACCACACCCGTCTCCTGGATACCAAATCGGTAGTTGATATCTCTATCCTATATACTTGTATATATCTAGATATAGATTAATAGTGTACAAAGCCCTCAAGTAATGTTTGATCATTACCATATTGATCAATATGTTGTCTTTCCGATGTGATCGTGAAGTTAATCGTCGGTTAAACTGGACACTTGACTACCTAGGCTAACAGACTGTAAACTGAATAATCTACACGCAAATTGACTACGAACTAGCGAGCCTTAGCGCTAAAATTTCTTAGGTATTATTTCTCCTACTACTACTACTACGATCTAGGTGGTTGACAAGCAAGTTTGGAACAGCTTAAGTGTTTACCTATCTTTATCATATTGGAATAGCATATCAAGCTTGCAGTAGAATCAATCAAGTACGGTATGGAATGACTAGAATTTTACAGTTAGTTTATTTCCTTCAAGATATGAAATATTATGAATGAAATCAATTACCATGTTCGCTATCACTTATAAAGAACTGTTAAAGCATTAGTCTATATTTGAATTTACGGTAAACTTGATCATACTGGCAAAGGAAAATAACACTGTAGCATGATTTTGTTAACCGATTCTAAATCTATTGGAAGAATTTATGGATCCTTAGGACGTTGAAACTGCTCAAAGATTGCTAAGTAGTAGATAGGGTAGTATATTAAAGATTTTGAAACAAATATAGTTTAGAAAAGAGCACAGAGTCTTACCTCATTATATTTTTCATATTGAATATTAGCCTTAATCGATTACCTAAGAAGCTATCTCTAACATCGTCACGATGTAGTGTCTCGATTTTTGGATCCGGTCCTTTTTTAACGCCAAGAATAGGAAAGACTTGCATTATTACTTTACCACTCATCACGTATACAGTACAATCTGTAACTGGATACAGAGCCTTCCTTTCCGTGTAGTCTGTATTTCATAACCTATCTGGTATAAACTATGATTACTTATAGTCTTCATAACTGTTCTCTGAGCACATTCATTAAATCTATCTACGATAAACTCCATATTAACAGCCATTCATGCACATCTACAGTATGCTAAAGATTCTAGAGCAGCTTGAACGACTAGACGATAATGTTGCTAACAAATGTAATTAGGAAAATTCATTCGAGATTATTTACACATTTTGACAGATAGTGAAACACCTTTATGAATAAGTATCTATTTATTATAAAGTTGTAGTATATTTAACATAGCAGATGGAAACCTTACAGAATTTTACTTAGGTTATGTATTCAATACAATTCTGATTCTTAAATTCAATTTATTGAATGTCAAATCCGATACATCAAAGAATGTTTATTTTATTCACGTCTCAAAGGAATGACATTTAATAGTCTGTGTGTTTATTGAGAGAGTGATGCATAACTATCAATTAAACATCGATTTATTATAAAGCTCTATTGCATATCGCTTAGCAGATCGAAACTATGAAATTTTACTTAATTTATCTTCATAGGTAAATAGATTTTAGATTCTATAGTGAGACGTCGGTAGTCCTAAGTAAGATGGCGGCGCTAGACCTAAGCCATGGACTAGTAATGGCAAGGATCACTTTTAGGCATTAAGGTAGTCGTGTACTATTAGTAGCTGATTCTAGAGACGATAGCTGTGTACATAAGTAAGACTGCAGGGCGCCTTGGTAAGCGGCATTAGCAGATCTCGCCTATCATTGGCTTAGAATGAGGGATAGCAATCATACCTAGCTAGGGATCTTGTACCTGCAGGAGCTATACTAAGTATTGAGTGGTATAAGGGAAACGATAGACTAGGTTAAGCTAGGTTTTAATTTGAACTGGCTAGGCAGAGCAACTGGGCAAAGACATTCGTCAGCATAATTTCAGGAAGGATATAAAGGCTGATATCTTAAAGAGAAGTTTAATCGATAGCCTTTGAACTAGCTGTGTAATTATCTAGTCTAAAGTTTTAATACTGTAATATTCAACAATATTTTTAAGTAATAACTAATTTTAAGCGCTACATTATGAGACTGATTGCTGACTGGTTAGAGCAGAGCTAAAGGTAGTACATTATTACAATGTATTGAATGCAATTCTGATTCTTAAATTCTATTTATCGAATGCCAAATCAAAGTCATCAGGGATATTATTTAAATAATATCAAAAAGGAGGAAGGACATGTGATAGTCTGCGTTTTACTTATTACTAAATCGGTTGTCAAATGATAGCACTTTGAAACGGTATTATACCTATATTTTAAGCTAGATTGGCTAGTTCAAGATCTAATGGGTGGTGATTTGAGAATAGTAAGCCAATTTACAAGCGAAAATTGCGTATTTAAATTTGCAGTAGGAGATCTTACAACATTATCGAAGAAAGATGCTGTGGATATCCTGGTTGTGTCAGCGTTTCCAGGTATGAGTAGAGTAATGGATCTTTATAAATAAACCCTTTCGATGACATGTTTACGTATCTATTATCAAATTATCAGATTTACTTTATGGCTCTTGCCATAAAATAGAATATAAAATAATTTCAATTGCCTTAAAAAAGAATTTAATGTAAATTTAACATGAATTTTGTTAGGTGATTATGCGACTATTCCTGGCACACTCATTGGAGCTTTACATTCTAGATTGAAAGTTAGCCTGAGAGAATTGGCAAAAGATAGAGTGGATTATCGTTTATTCTATAACTGTTGGTATTCTCGCCTTCTTCCCAGTCATCTCAACTTTCGAAGGATATTATGTTTCGAGAATGTTACAAAATCGCATCCATCTCAGGCTCTTGGCGATATTTTCCGCTGTATTCTCCCGCTATTTAACGACAATCAAGGTTCAGTAGCAGTGCCTATATTAGCAAGTGGTAACCAGGTAATGAGCTTTCATGAAATGAAGCCTATTTGAAGATAAGAAACGATAAATTACATCTTTTACTTTATAATACATATTGATGAACTTATAATCATAGTTTTATGGATTTTAATCATATTGTTTTAAAACAATTAGGGCTATAGTCATAAACAAATGCTTTCAGCTACCATAGAATCTGCAATAACATGGCTACAATCAGGCTTGTCGATGAAATCATTAATCATATGCAGTTATCTAGAGAGTAAAGAGTTACTAGCCGTTTTTAATTCGTATAAAGCACAACTAACATTACCAATGAAGGTTAGTAATTGAATTATATAGCTATAAAGTCATATTTGTACATCTGGCATGGTTTATGACTAGTGAGATTGGATTTATTTTTATTCTAAAGTATCCAGCGGATTCCGGTCCTAAAGTTTCACCAACCAAACAGCCAACCAAAAAACCGGTTACCAAAGTAACGCCTATAAAGTACGAAAAGTATCTAATAAAATTAAAAGTGCAATAGGACATAGTCCTGACTGGAAGCTAAATCCAACATCAAGCTCTGATAGTCTTATGTTACATTATTTTTATATAATCAAAGAACAAATACAATAAAACTTAATGCTGCGACAAGTATCTAGTAAAATAAAAGTATATTTAGATATAATCCTGATGGGAAGCTAAATCCTTCATTAAGCTATGATAGTCCTAATTTAAATTTTTTTATATAATTAGAGTATAAATAGAATAAAAATAGATCCAACTCGTTTTATAAACCATTATATCATCCGCTTACATCTGCTGCTTTAATAATTGATTACTGATAGGAATGTTCCTGCAACAAATTCGTTACGAATAGTCGATTCATTCGGTGTTGAAGGAACTGCTTGTCCATCGATAATTAAATATGCAACAGGAGATTTAACAGATTTGCAAAAAAGCGATGAAATTGATGTTTTAGTAGTCTCTGCATTTTCAAGTAAGCGTTTCTTAATATTCTTACAATCGTATCTATTGAACCTTTAAAACTGTGATTCAGGCGTATTATATATGCACCAGTCTAGAAGTTTCTTTTTCCGCTTCAATAATTACCTTCCTTAATATTTATGGTGTGATATTTTCTTATTGCAGATGACTATGCAGCTATTCCTGGGACGTTGATCGGAGCATTAAAAAAAAATTTGGGTATTAGTGTTGAGGAGCTAGCAAAAAACAAAGCTGAAGATTACCGAAAATATTATTCTTGCTGGTGGTCTCAGTTGCTTCCTAGTCACATCAATTTTAAGCGTATAGTCTGTTTTGAAAAGAAAATAAGCGTTAAGCCTACCCAAGTTATTGGTAATATTTTCCGATGTTTTTTTCCACTTTTTAACAACGAGCCTTGTTCAGTAGCTATGCCAGTTCTAGCAACCGGCAATCAGGTAAACTATGCATGAGTCGATTATTTACTGTATTGTTTGCTCCCGCTATATCTAACGAAGTAGCTCATATCGAGCGGCACCTAGAGGTAAATTTAGAAATTCATGTCCAACATAATGCAATATAACTACTATAACATATACCAATCCAGAGTTATCGATCAAGACGATTGTTTAATTGTGCGCTATGAGTAAAAATGTAGAAAAATTATGCAGAAAAATAATACAAACTGAAGCGTACCGTGTATGTTACTTTCTTGTACTAGATAAATTTGTAAATCTTGTAGGCACAGTCTTACCAGAGTATTTGACCTTTAGCTATCTACTATTAGTCAGAAATGGTCAAAATTCAGTAATTTCTTCCAGACAGTATAAAACTAACTACAACATTTTTAGATTTTAAACTAATTCGACTGCTTATAATATGGCCTGCCTATGATAGTTGACTATTTAGAGTTATTATTTGGATATTATAGGGATATTCCCAGACTCGAGTATTTGAGTCTCTATTAAATGCTGCTATCCGGTGGATAAGAGCGGGCTTACCACTCAAGTCGCTGTTAGTTTGCAATTTTACGAAAAACCCTGAATTGGATTTGTTATTCACTAAAATCAAGGCTACTGCTTTGCTTCCTCAACCAATAGCTAAAGTAAGTTACCTATTTATAAATAAGTATCAAGTTATAGGAAGGGTTTGAAAAATTTTCAATAGAACTTTAGTTGTGGTATCAAATTACGACATGTCTCACAAAATATTTCATTATCAGAGAAATATAAACACAAATTGATGGATAGCCAAAACTTTTGCCCTTCAGGTTCCAGAATTCGATTTCGATTTTTATATATCCTATAGTCCCCAAGATATTACACTTGCAAACAGAGTGAAGAATGAGCTTGAAAATGCATGGGCAGAAGAAAAGAAAGCAATTCGTCTTCATACTAACTTTCAAGAAATTAATCCTGACATTTCATGGCAAGATGAAATTTATAATGCCATTTGCAAATCAATCCGTGTTATTGTGATATTAACACCTAGCTATTTGCAGGTATATTCCTTAACCAATATAAAAATTAGCATAGTCTAGTTCTATGATGCATTTCGAAATTATTTCTTCTATTTGATTTTTCTAAAACAGCTTAAATGTTTGCTTGATTTGATAATTTATATAGTGCGAAGCATGTAAGGAACAATTTAACGTTGCACTTTGTGTCAACCAACAATCTAAATGGAATTTGTTAGCCCCACTCTATGTTATTGCTATTCCTGATATTCCAACATATATTACATTAGTACAATATATAGACTGTCGGTGAGTATTATTTGAACGTAACTAACAATAACTTTATGCCTATAAAATTATTAGATATCTCGTAGGATTGTATAGGACTATTAGAAATGAGTAGCCTTCTCAATGATTCGCATTTTGCATAGGGATAATACCGAGGTCTGTATCAGTAAAGCAAGTGAACAGTTTTGTGAATGGCATCAGCGGTCTAGCGATGAATTAGAACTAATTGATAATCCTTACGAAAAAGCTACAATCAAGTATAATTATGATTTATTCATTTCCTACTGTCACGAAAATTCAAACTATGCTAAGTTAGTACTTGAAAAGATGAAAATTTTCGATGAAGATGCTAACATTTTCTTTGATGTTCAGCAATTAAAGGTAGATTCCTGTAGTATTTTGAACTAGATCAAACTTGATTATAGCTATTTATCAGTGAATAAGAACATATAAATGTTTATGTGTCATAAAACTTGTAAATAGATAGGCCGTTTTAGTTTATCATCTAGATGGATATATTCTAGTAATGAATCATTACCAAAACTCTTTAGAAGTTAATCTCCGCGTATCTTTCTATCATTCATTTGGCTAATTTTTATTTATAGACAGGAACCGCATGGCAGAAAGAGCTATATGAAGCTATTGATGGTAGTCAAAGTTTAGTTGCTATTGTTACACCTGCATATGTACGATCAAAAGTGTGTTACGAAGAGTTTTCACTAGCATTAGCATTGGATCGTGAAAGAAATACATCAGAAGGGAAACGATTTTACTTTTGTCCTGTTATCTTAAACAGTAATGATGACGTTCCTAGTACATTTAGACATGCCAATATGATGATTTGTAAAGATGGTAGTTTCTCAAATGAATTTGTTAGTAAGGTTTGCCAACATTTAAAAATAGGCCAACATTTACAGGTGTGTTTAATTATTAAGGAAAATATTACATAAAATTTTTACAATATAAAGCTATCTAATAATTGGATTAAGTCATTAGAAAGATGCTAAAACAACTTGATACTTTGCAAGGATTTTCCGATGGACAAGGATGAGAAATCACCAAAGCTGGATGAAGTTCTAAGTAAATGGAGAGCGTTCCAGTTTACTCAAATAGCACAGGAAATAATGGCTGATCTTGATAAATTACCAAAAAGCGCAGTTACTGGCACTGGTGCTACTACTAAAAGATCGTCTATCAAAGCCATCCTTTGTTCAAAAAACGTTTCAACGAGGGCAATCATAAATACTTTCAATGCTAGTACCACTGCTAGTGCAATAAAAGTTGATGATTCGCAAAAGTCTGTACATGTTGTAATCTTAAATGCTCAAAGCGAAGAAGATACAGCTGCTATGTTGAGAAGTTTGCTGACGAGATTACTTCCTCAAACGAGAGTTACTCTATTGCAACAGCCGAAAACAGAAGAACAAACTCATAGAAGATTAAATATACTAGATGAAGTTGATATGGCCGTAGCACTAATATCACCACAATATTTATTGTCTCCTAAATTAGTGGACGAATTGCATATCATGCTTTTTCGACAAAGGAGTAATCCTCAGCGGTGTCTCTTTTTCCCAATAATTATGTATGGACTGCCGGAAGAACCGTTATATTTTAGGATATTAAACTGTAGATACGCATGCCACGATGAATTTTGGGATAAACTATACGAAAAGAGTCAGTTAAAAGTCCTAATTGAGAGTATATTTGGCCGTCTTGATATACGAAAGCAAATGGTATTGGTTTGTGCCGCTATTCATATAATCCGACTTTTAAATGGAAAAGGTATTTTTGCGTTAAAAGCATATCGCATCACTTAGAAAGCTGCTTCAAAATGATAGAACGAGCTACATACGAATGCAATCGCAAATATAATTACGATAGTCTAGCAGAATATTTGTAAGTTTGTAGTTCGCACTTTTATACGGGTAGTATCTTGATTTCATTGCATTGTCGTGATAATTGGAATCAGATCTATTTTATTATACTATAGCTTAAGAACATTATAAATATCTTGAATTGATAAGACTATACGTCTAGGATTCGCATTTATTGATATTAGGAACTACTATACGAGTATATAAGTAATACTAATTTATCGAATTACTCTTTTATGGCTTTGCTACTACATAGATATCATAAATGAACGATACTGTATTGCTAAATTTACATTTTCGTTACAGATCAAGGAAATTTCGGTATTTTATTAAATCTCAATAAAATCAACGACGAAATTGAGGATATTGAAGTAATTGATAAATTGAAGAAGCTGTAACGTCTCGATTGTAATGTGTACTTGTTACGCTTAGGTTATGTATTTGTTGCTAAAGCCATAAGTTAAGTTAGTGTTAATAATTAATCAAGGTTTAGATAGGGTTTCTTTATATTGCGTTTTACTTAATCTGAGATTTGTATTTGTACATAACTTCATGAAATAGAGAATATATAGCATCTGTGTAGGCTACAGTAAGTATCCTAGAAGATTGGAGAATTTAGGACAGTTTTGATCTTATTGCCTGTCGATAACATCTTCTTTAACTGAAAAGTTGATAAAATTGATGGCTCCATCAATTTTATCATTAGTATTTAGTAGCCTAACAGTACTTAAAACTAGGTTTGTAGCATCAATTTTTATTTTATATCAATAAATATACATATCTTACCATAAATTGACTACGGTTCTTAAGGGTAATACAATGTTCAACATGTCACTTTTTCTATAGTTTTTCTGTAACATAGTTCCTAGGTGTAGATGATCTATCGTAATACTATAGCGCATACATTTAAAAAGTAACGTTGCTATAAAAATTGCTCGTAATATAATAGTATGCTTAATAGGATATCTTGGTCCAGTAGAAGATAAAAATGTTAACTTTATACATTAAACAAATAATTTAGTTGTACTAGACTTAAGTACGACTGATGATAATAAAATTATGATCACAATATGCTGATTTTGACATTAATAAATCCATATCATACACTCAAAATGAAATGTGAAGTTCATTTGTTCTAGAACTTTCAACTAAGTTCAGTCTCATATTACTGCATTTCTTGCAACAGTAATTCTACCATTTAATAAGCTATTTGCCACTTAAGTAAGACGGTAGTACTTGCTTGAAAGAGCCATATTAACTTTAAAACTGTAAATTCAAGCTTCAGTTAAGTCATCATTAAAATATATATGAATCGCTGGTAAAAAAGAGTCATCGTTCATGCCAAGTTTGAAAAATTCTTCAGAATCATCAGCAACTTCGTTCTCTTCTAGTGTTTTTGTCATGTCTAAATTTTTTCCAATGTATTTCCAAGTATAACTGCGTGCATGGGAATTGTATTTCATATAACGATCTTGAATCTCATCTAAGATTTCTTCAGAGCAAACCTGCAACAAGCAATATTCTTAATTACAATAAATTTTATTTTATAATGTATCATTCTGTAAAGTACTTATGCTGCTATTACGAAATATATAAAATTAATAGGAGATTAAGCTGAAGTTTAGTATTACTTCGATTGTTTGCTCTTGAGATGTTAAAGTATTTATAACGCGAATAAATCGAGTTTTCTGTGAAAGAAGGCCTATGCAATAGGCGTCATCTTTCCACCAAGGCTTTCCAAAATTATTAGCCCAATCACTTTGTGGATATGGCGGTGCAATATGAATAAAACGGCCATGAGGTGTATATGGTACAATGCAACCGGTAACAGGATCGACATGCGTTCTTACCTAAATCAAGAGTGAAATTAATTTTACACTTAATGCATTTACGTGTCTTTTAATACGATTCAATTTTTAAGATAAAAGCAAATACTGTAATATTGAACAACTACTCACATCTTTCGTTTTATCATCGAACCAATGAGAAATGTCTTTACCAGCTGATTGTATAACTGGTTTCAAGAGTAGATCTCCTATAATGGATAAATGGCGTGGTTATTCGAGCTTACTAACATCACCGAATTTTAACTAATAGCCGTTGATTACCATATATCATATACTTGTTATAAATAAAATGATTATATTAATACGAATCTCAATCATTCACTCATACTACATCAACGCAATAATCTACTCTTCAATATTATATGTTGTTGCCATACTTCTTTGCAGACTCCATCGGCAAATACTGTAAAACCTTGACAAGTACATCAGTAAGCTAGAGCTAAACGATGCCTAACCTGAATATTGATTACATAGCGGTGTTAAATTGTAAACCTTGCCCAGGAATGAAACCCATAAATCATCGATTGTAGTGTGTATACTAACTTCGTTAGGAGTGAAATATTTCGGCCTTACCACCATTGCGAATTTTTTTATCCAACTATCCACTTTAGTTCAATGTAACCTGATGTTGTTATGGAAACGTAAACTGGAGTTTTGCGGAATTTATACAGTATAGTACTGTAACTGTACGGTACAGTGTACTGTACAGTACTCCTGCTCCGATTGGTGAGACAGCGGACAGATCATAAAAGGGTTCTATACGATTTCTACTCTACTGCACTATACTTTTGTACAGTATACTAAACATCGACAGTCTCGTAACGGTATGATTCCAGACCCGCCGACACGAACTAGACGGGCGTCCGCGCGTCTGTTCATTTTTTTGATCCAACAAGTACTGGACACTATATAGTGTTCTAAACTAGCGCTGTAGGCTTATAGAATATTATAGAATGAAATAGTAAACACTTGATTGCCCTGGAATTGTATTAGCTGCAAATCTTTCTCCTGAGCATTTACTTTGATTGCAAAATTATTTCTTGCTATCATTTCTTACACAGTTGTAGCTCTTACTACTGATTAATTAATCTATTAGACGTTGTGATAATAGATAAGAGTTCTTGAGCTATTGATTTTAATTCTTTGGCCATCAGATAAGGACGATCGAGTTGTGTACTAGCTGCAGTGGAGGAGGCTGCCAATAATGAAGTGGAGAGATTGCTGAGGAGCAGTAGGGCGAAACGGTAAATAGAAAGTTGAATTATAGTGATCATGCATAGTTTACACTTCAATTTATCGCTATTCCTTACACTGTGTTGTATCCAAGTGTTTGATTCTATGGTAAAGTGGGCTACGCACCATAACGGTGCCAAAATGTTGTATTAACGTGAGCGAATTGAAGGTCAATGCTGGTTAGAATATTTGCATGTAGGACTGCAATTCTGCAAGAATAGCTTGCAGACAGACATGACGAATGGCGTATAGCATCTATAAAATAATAGTGCACCTATCACGACCAAGGTTGTGACACCAGAAGATAGTATAAAAATAAATGTTCTTTATCCTCGTTGATCCGGCAGATCTACCTCGTTACTTGACATTAAGTAGAACTACTCCTCTAATAATTAATGACTGTTTGCTTCTGAAGTGAAATAATTGGTGCTAGTCTACCTTTTATCCTACAGACAACTCTTTGATCGACGTGTATAACTACAGTATCTAGTCTACATATGGAAGTGAGAACTATCTAGTGTATCTGCTGTATTTGTTGTATTATCAGGTTTGTTGAAGTAGGGTAGACAATTTGCTATGCAAATAATTTCATATCAAAAATTTCACATCTAATTTTTTAGAGCTGTGGCAAACCAGCTAGACAGAAGGTGTTAATTACAGCTCCTATATCAACTTGCTTTTTTGTTAAATATTGATACTTGTCGATGAAGCGAATATAGCTGAATTCATAATTCTGTTATGAATTTAAACATCTCTATTGCATCTTTGATATCGTACCTAGTATACTGAACTGAAGCTTATTTTACTAACTGGTGTATCAATATTCGAATATCGTACAACAAAATTCATGATATATGGTAAAGTTAATGGGCATATTTGTAAAATTGTGCACGTACGCGATTATAGTATACGTGTATTTACTGCGAGTGCATTTTGCTTTATTCTTCGCGGTAGAGCAAAAATCATTCGATTTCCAGTTTCCGTTGAGATAGTGACTTGTTATGTTTAAAAACGATTATATATCATTTACTACTTACTAATTTATGCTTTCATATATTTTCATTCTTATTTCAATAGATGATAGTAAGGATACATTAGTCGTAATACCTTGTTGGCGACATGGGTGGCAAAGACGTGAAGGAAATGAATCCGTTTAATAAAGTTTCTATTTTTATAGATGACAATTTACGTACTATCAGGGTAAGTCTTAATACCTAATTTTTACTATTTTGATACCGAATCGTAAACATAGAAGTCATAAATGCTGTTACGAAATGAATATGATGCACAGCATACATTACAGTAACTGCATACTGCTATATATGATTGATTTGTAATACGACACTGATATTTACTGATCATTAAATATATAACGAACTGTATTATCTACAAAAATGATCGCTATATAGAAAATAATTGATAGCGGCATTGCGATTATATCCATTTTCGAGTGAATCATCCAACAGGAGATTCTGCAAAATCTCATGGTGTTCGTGCGCTAATTAATCAACACTAAGATCGAATATCATAAGTGTTTCTAGAATGCGAGATACATTAATCTATCTTTCCACTGTTTACTATAGCTTGGTGTCACCATGTGCATGGGTATCGGCTTAATTATCGTTGCACGGAGCGGTAGATTGGTATGTATGACATTTAGAGTTGAGATCACCAGCAAGTAGAATGATTAAATTGCTGTTTGGAAGGATAAAAGCAAAGCAAGACTTACAGTATCAGATTTATTAAGTTTCACCGTGTATTCCGAATGATAGTAATGTGACTGTGTATTATGACTAGTAGACAAAGTTGCAAATGTCATATCGTGAATCGGTTTCATGCTCTTTACCATGTTTTACTGCCAAAGAAATGTTATAAATCGAGTCATTGCTTATCAATACATTTGTCTTAATTTAGTTGAAAACGTTCACATCTGTGTCCGATATACCCGAAAAATTTATCAGAAAAAATATAAAGTTACGTGGGATTGTAAAAAGTATTGACGAAAATGGCATTTTAATGGTCCAACATGTGCCTGTGTACCGACCTTCTCTTCTCAAATGTAAGTCTAAGTTGACATTTAAAAATTACTTCTTAATGATTCTTAACCATCATTTTACCTTGAATTTGACGCTCCTTCAATAGCGAGGGATCATTGTCCCTTGAATGTAAAATTATTGGGTTTAGAATTACATGAAAATGGTCACTTGTGGCTAAAATCACATCTGCTTGACAAACATATTTGGTTTCAGCTGTTTAGTGTTAATAGCAAAGATACGCTGGAATGTATAATTTTCAAAGGCGAGGCAAGTATCTCATCTATCCAACTTTATTTATTATGCATTATCGTTGTATTGATCAAAAGGTGGCCTTTGTTTCACCATAGAATTTTATTATACGGTCTCGAATGAATGTGAACGAGTTACTCATTAAGGATGGCTTAGCTACAGTTACGACAATTAACCAAATCGAGAATAAACGAATTGCTAATGAAGTAGTCCGAAAGTTTATTAGAGCTGAGCTAAAGGCGGAAAAGAGCGAAAAAGGACTATGGATGACTTCTTCAATTGGGATCATGGATAGGCTGTCTAACCTCAAACATAAATTAAGAGATTGGACGGATAATTTAAAAAGATCACTGATTTCAGCGCAATCACGCATAACTGGGTACTTTGGAAAGAAAAAATAAATGGCTTTTGTTAATGTATCTATAGTATATTGCATATCTATTGAGCTGACGATTTTATGGTTTTACTGTTGCAACTAATGCAACGTTAATGTTATTATAGATATATAAGCATGTACGTGTCATGTATAGAGTATGCGACAGGTATAATGATACAGCTGCATTATAGATGATTTTTTGGTGCTACACAAAATACATCTTGATCTGGAATTCTACGACTATTAAAATGTACTAGCTTATACGTAAATGCCTTTTAGGCTACCGTATCTTTCATTGAATGCAGCATAACGATAAATTATTATCTCCAATGATCTAGGTTTCGACGTCACATAAGCATAATGTTCCAATGTCATGCAACCAATCTTGTAAAATATCAGCATCTACCGTACACTCTAGACTGTATTACAATTTAGATCTGTATAGAAATATTTGCATCCAAGTATAGAACATATACAGTATAGCATACTCTACCTGCAGTATACTGTACGTTTAAATTATGAATTATTTGCTGGATACGAAGAATACTGGTATCATCTAAGCATTTTTGTATGCTATGCAAGGTATTGAGTTAATTCTGGAAGTTATCACAAGCTGGTTTTAGAGCTCTTGTCTGTTCCCTTATTCGAAATTTAATATTGCCAGTTAGTGAGCTCAATTGGTTTTTCATGCCCGTACACACTTCAGCTCGGGTATGCAAAGTTGCAGCGTTGTGAGCTACTGTAATTCCGCACGTAGTCGTTTTCCAATTTTAGTGTTTACAACAACATTTCTTGTCCATCAAATTGTCCATCAGCGTAGAAATCCCACAAGATCTTATTATGAAATTTGTTAAGCGTATTTCGAACCGTTCCTTTTTTGCATACTCAACTTATATCATTTAATTCCCCCTTTTTATACTGCATGTGGTGATATAACTAATAGTAATCAATTGATAAACATTTATTCGAGTATTAACTATAGCCGATGCATGATTAATTAATTTCATTCAATTTATTTATAAATTTACTATTAATCTTGCTATCATTCACTTAGTTTGATCGTTTGGATCTTGTCTTGTTCGAATTATCCACACCACCGTCCGTCCGCACCGAGCATGCGCAGTTTTCGACTGAGTTTTAAACGTTAGAAAGACGTTTAAAAACTCCAAATGGCCAATGTGGCGCGTCCTCGAGGCAATCTCTTGTAAAGCGATAATACGGCTAAAATGGCTATTAAATCTATATTAACCTAGTATTGTAGAGTATATGATTCGTCTACTGTATCGTATGCATGCTTAGAACTACTCTATAGTTTCATAATAACTGAAAATCCGATTCTTTTGGTGACCATTTTTAGGGCCTTCGTTGCCCATGACAGCGGAAAGCTTCGAAGGGTTCGAGTACAAAAACTACAGTTAAAATAATGTCGCCAATTGGTCCCAATGGGCAGGAGCGGATGCGACATTGTTTTTGCAGTAAATTATATAGTAAAGTATATTATAGGACTAAAAGTAATGTCGTAAATAAAGACTCATACTACGTAGCTGGGGTGACATGGTTTTTGTTGGAGCGGGTAGTATACAGTGATTTTTTTCGTCCAGTATAGTATTATTCACTGTAATCGCTAGGTGATTAGCATACTAGCTCAAACCATAGTCCAAGAGCTATAAGAGCTCTAGTCGAGCATAACTCAGTATTCATAGTCACTGTCTACAACAGACTACAGTACAATCATAGAAAAAATTAGTACTGTAGAATGGACAGTATACTGTATAGAAACAGAGTTGGCTCATACCCATTCACACTAACGCCAATCCAAATACGCGTGTAGCTCATTGTGGAAAATATCCATCATGGCGGTGCCGACAGAATTCAGTGGCGTTGTTCTATCCCTTGAAAATACTATTTATCCAGATGAAAAACTACAAGAAACACCATCGCAATTAGACGGATTAAGTAAGGAAATGGAAACAAACTTACGAATTGCAGGTTGTGAATATATTCAAGCTGCAGGAATCTTATTAAAATTACCTCAGGTCAGTTGAAAATCCAGTCTATGCTGTCTACTCATACATTGTTACTACTTCTAGCATTGGATAAATGGATTGAATGTTGTAGATTATAGGATAGGAATGAGATATTGTTGAGCTTTTTATCGAGTAATTCATTATATATACAACGCAGATAAAGGATCAGCTTTACAGTATGTAGGAATAGCTGTATGATGATAGTATTTGTAAGCTTATTTTTGTACACTATGAATCAACAAGCTTGATCATTTTGCGATCATGTTCTATATTGAGAGATCATTAATAGTGAGACAAAGATCAAGAATTTTCTACATTTAACATTATTATTGTCATCAAGCTGGACGATCGATGACAAATTCATTTCCTACGTGATAGAGATGAGTGATTGTCAAGTCTGTCAAGGATGCTTACGAAAACGATCGTTAGTAATGATGATAATCATTAATAGTCAATAGAAGATCAAGAGAGCTTATACGTTAATAATACGATCAAGCTATAGAGTCAATGCTTATATGAGTAATCATCAGTAGTTAAAAGAAGATCAAGAATTCGTATACATTAATATGAAGATCAAACGATGGATTATAGCGCACTCATTTCCTACGTAAAGGAGATAGTCCTACATGAACTTCATAAAGGATGCTTACATTAATGATCGTTAGTAGTCGGAAGATTTATACTGTGTAATTGAAAGACTAATAAGAGTTCTTCTGCCTTTTCACGTTAATATTGCGATCAAACTGTAAAGTCGATAACAAGCTCATTACTTAACATGATGGAGATGATTGTAGTCCATGCTATTGATGCTACTAAATTAAGTTGTATTCGTAACAGCATTGATGTTCTTTTCAGGTGGCAATGGCAACTGCACAAGTACTTTATCAACGCTATTATTATTCCAAGTCTTTTGTCAAATACAATTATGAGGTAGACAAGCGATAAATTGACAATAACTTTGCTCTAATCTGCTTTAAATTCTATCAAGGACTCTATTCCTACACCGTATGATCATTATAATGAGTCAAAAGTACTAATTGAATTCTGTAGCATTAAAGTACCTTTCTTGTCAAGAAATTCTATTCCATGGTATCAGCTTATATTGTAATCTAGATGATCGACGGCATAACTATTATTATAGTAGTGATACGGTTATACTTTCTATAATTATAAAGAACTCGGCTTGCAAGCAAATAGCTTAAAACTAACATATAGTTTCCTTGATCATTTCAACCTTGTATGATAGATATGTGCCATGGCATGCATCTTCTTGGCTGCAAAAATTGAAGAGCATCCACGTCGTATTCGAGATGTTGTCAACGTTTTCTATCATATAAGACGGAAACTGAATGAATTGTAAATACAAACAAAAATACTTTCATACTATCAAACTAGTTGATACTGTGTTAATACGTGACTATCCGTTTATGTTTTTATAGGCCTAATAAGGTAATGGACTATATGAGTAACGAATATTTCCACAAAAAAAGTGAGGTTATTAAAGCAGAGCGACGAGTATTAAAGGTAATTCATTGAGGATACATACTAAACCAAGGCGTAACTTGACCTGTTAGACTGTATAAATCGTAGCTAGATTCAGTAATAATTTCTATCTTTTATGGATTGATTGCCATTTTGGTATATCCTACAACACGATTGATCTGTAAACTAAACTTTACGCTCTGTAATAACTTATTTAATTTACTCATGACTATACTTAGGAGTTGGGTTTCTGTGTCCATGTCAAACATCCTCATAAATGTATTGTCACTTACTTGAAAATATTAGAATGTAACGATAATACTGAATTGATCCAAAAAGCTTGGTAAGTACAGAAGATTAGACGTGTTCTATCTATTTTCTAGATATTAAATATCGAATATGAATGCAAGAAATTAAACTATACATGTTCTAGTAAATGCTGTATTAATTTCATATTAATTCGCTTGGAAATTTAGACTTCATTCTGTGTATAGTAATGAAAATAGCTAAACATTTTTATATGCGCGGAAAATCAAATTACGTCTGATATTTTACCTTTGATTTTATGCTACTTCTCTGTTATCCTACTGAATCAGTTCTTATTTAATGTGTTAACGTGTTATGCAAAATTAGAGTGTACTACATATAGATCACAGAAAAATGATACTTCATCATATAATAGTCTGTATTTGAGAGCATACAATCTAATTTTGCGTTTGATCAATCTTCCACATTGTGCAATTACCTGAATTAGTTAGCTAGTTAGTAATTAGTGCTATCGTATGCGTACGTGAAACTACGAATTATTGATGTAATTAATGCATACATACAGTAAGCAGTGTATTTTGTAAAAAAGGATTTAAGTTGTCGTGTCATAATGGTCGATTTATTATAAATATTATTGGCAGTCAAGTGATACGTTTTGATTGAACATTTTATTTACATAAAGTTTGTTATATGTTGCTACGATAGGAATTACATGAATGATAGCCTGAGGACAGACGTATTTATGCGATATACACCGGAAACTATAGCCTGTGCATGTATCTACTTGAGTGCCAGACAGCTTGGGGTAAATTTTTTTTATCAAACTTTAAAGTGATGTGTGCTATGATGTTTGAATATAGCACGTTGCCTTCGTAAATGTCTTCAAGACTGGCTATGTCAATTATCTAAAATGTTTAATTGCTGTTTTGCTAATACCAGATTGGCTTACCCAGCAATCCTCCTTGGTATGAGGTTTTCGATGCAACAACAAAAGAGATGGAGGTATATTTGCTCATAGTTTCCGTAATTGATAGCGTTGACATGTTAATATACCAAGTCAAATATGTAGTAGACATAATTGCTTCCTAATTGCAGAGAATAAGTCGAACCATTTTGCACTTGTATACGATTCCAAAAGTAAGTAATGTAACAGATGATATTACACGTATGTTTTATGGTCAGTGAATAAAAAATGTAACCATGCTGCCATATTATTTACTGATAGGTAAAAGTTGAAGACTTAGAAAAAGAAATCGATGCAGCGAAGAAAATATTAGATGTAAGTACGAATATTCTTTAAAGTTTCTTTAGAATTTGGTGCATACTGTATATTGTTAATGCAAAAGTGCTTTATATAATTGAATTAAATAATTAATCTGTACCATACCAAATGTGAAAATTCTAGGAAAAAAGAAAAAAAGAAAAAGAACAGAAGCATTCCGAAACTGCCCAGACATCTATCCAAGGTTCACCGGTTGATTCTCCTCGCAATGGACAAAAAGGTAGGTTAACGTAAAGAAAGACAAACGTGAAACCTTGGCATTATTATTACCATTCTTGGTACTAAATCCATCTTAACTATTCCTTACTGTAGGTAGCCCAAATAAATCTAAAGAATTAGTTAGACAAGCTTTAAATAAAATCAGAGAAAACAATAAAGATAAATCGAATCATCCTGAGTAAGTAATATTTAAATGATACCATTTTGCGACATTTTAAGTAGCGCACAACTACACATTCATAGTTTTTACATTTGTTTTTATGATTATAAATTGTTGACATATGAGGATAACGTAATTTCTTTCTCATGAATATTAGGGATCGTGATCATAAGAATGACGAGAAAATTTCGACATCTAGGAGTACCGATAGTACACGATCAGGATCGGAAATTTCGAGTGAAAGTAGCGATAGTTCAAGCCCTAGGAAAAGATCGCGCAGCCCTGTTGTAAGGTCGAGACATAGTCGACCGGGATCACCTAGCGATGATAGACACCACAGTAGTAATGTAAATAGTAAAATTGAGAAAGCTCGCGAAAAGGCTGGAATCACATTTAGAAAGCGATCGGATTACCGTAGATCTCGATCTCGTTCGAGAAGTAGGAGTCCGTACAGAAGCAGATACAGGGATAGTTATAGAAGAGACGAAAGACGTCGAAGTAAGGACAGAGACAGAAGGGATGATAGACGCCGTCGTGACTACTATGACAGGCGATGAACCTGAATTTTGTGTTAATCGAAATTGGAAATACTTCATTTGACATATACAGTACAAACTATAAATATCTAATCCCTGTTGGCAATTGTGGCGGAATAGCTATAACGTGTGGTACCTACCAAACGTATAAGAATGTAGATGATCCAATCGATCGATATTCCGTTAATCGAGCACAGTTCTTGTTACAGTTACTGTACATAATGTATATTATATTTTCGCCGAGCTACTCTTTACTTTGATGTTTAACTGCGTTTGATTAAATAAAAGCAAGACGTTTTTGTAAGAAATATTTGTTTTAATCATTCTTTACATGAATATTATAACTTGTATAAAAACGAATAAGTCACATTGCTCAGAGTAAACATGAAATAATAATACTATTTCCATTCTGTAAAACTAACATATAGGTAACAACCAGCGAAACGTTCAATAGAGCACATAATTTAGTGTAATACTGTAATATATTATTTACCTACAGTACAATACCAACCTTACAATAATACGTAGTTAAGTTTCAAATAAAAATTCGCTTCAAAATTTTAAGCCGACAATCTACAAAATTTCTGTATTATCTTGCAACAGTCAATCGATAGATATTCTTTCATCTAAGTACTGTACATTTACATGATGATATGAAATCATACGCGCACTTTACTATTACTGTAGCAACTTAAAAAATGCTATCTTAAATCCTGCGAGGTTAGCAGTATTAATATCAATAACATTGTGGTACTGTACAGCATGACGTGCGGCCATCCCGTTACTCAAATGCGAGGTAGCCATCTAATCATTAACACATAGAAGGTCTATCACTAATATCAATCTATTTATTAATTCAAGCCCGAGAACTGATAGTTGATGGCTTTTTGGCAGACAGGATTGATCGACTTTTTCTTTTATGGGTGGTCGAACGTTTGCATCGAGACGGTGTAGCAGGATCTAAATTTTCTATGTCGCTATCAACATTGACACTAACTTCATCTGGATCGATATCAAATAGTTCTACATCACTGTCCTCTTCAAAGGAAAGATTTACAGGCTTTTTCCTATTTTTACGTTTGCTAACTGATTTTCTTGGAGCTAGTTAAAAGATGATAATACATATTTTAATAAAAGATGGACACCATTTGTCAAAATTGAAAAATTGAGATTCTAACTCTTTTTAGCAGAGGCAGCTCGCTGTGCGGCGACGTCATTTTCAATTCCCTTGTTCCTAGATTCATTTAGGCGATCTTGAAACTCTTCAGCTAGGGCCTATTAAAATTCTTCAAGTTAACTAACTTGCAGATTATAATCAGTTTTCAAGTAAACAGCTTACTACTGACCTTTGTTTCAGGCTTAGCAAAGCGTTTCATTTTGTTTAACACAGTATTGAAAGAGCTATCAACATCGTCGTCCACTAAGGCATGTTGAAAGCATGAAAAGTTTTCATATAATTTTCTAAACGCCCGGTCATTAAGATTTAGCAAAGATAAGCAATAAGCCAGATTTCTCCATTGTCGGTCGTCCGTTCTAAAGATAATGCAATAGGTTCATTAGGGCTAAGAAAGACGACATTAGAGATGCATAGATATTATTTCTTTAATAATTTCATGCCTAGCAATGGTGCATGAAAATTATGCAGATACTTACTTTGCGGCTCTAAACCTATAACATAGCTTTTCTGTTAAATTTTCGCATTGTCTGTCTTTCTCGATGAAGGACATTACATATCTATAAAATAATAAAACATTTATAACTGAAGGCTCAATAATGCAAGTACAATGCGTAATAAAATATTATGATTAATATAACGAGTTTTCAGATTAGTATAGATCAATCATATAGATAATGTGCTCGTATTTAACTACAATGTACGCAATATTAAAATATCTAATATTACTTTATTGATTGTTTTAAGCTACTTAGAAAATGGATCAAATATTATCAGATTGAATCCTTATCCGATAATTACGTACTTTAAGATAGATCTGAAGCATGCTTCATTGACTCCGACTTCAACATCAGACAAGCGACTTATGATGTCAGGGAGAATATTGTACACAGCGTTGCCCTAAGTGCGTTAATATACAAATCGATATTCAATATCATCCATTCTTCGACCTCTGCCGGTGTGTACGAATCTAAACGATAACAACGTGTACCTTCTTTGATAATTCTGAGAAAAACAATTTAGCTAGATTGGAGATTTCTTTATTACTATCTTCAAGGCAAACTGCCATTTCGCTTATTTGTCCTTTGACTTTAATCATATCATTTAAGATTAGATGTGTCAACACCTTGATAGAGTTTCTCTTGACTTCCAAACTGCTATCCTTTAGTCTAAACCAATGTGGAAAATAAATTGTTAAGTAGTCGATTTCAACATTTTTTATACATATAAGATTAAGCATACTTACTGGCTATATAAGTGCCCGGTCCAAGGTTCGATAAGATTTGGAAATCTTACCGTAAGATCATGTAGAGCGACAGCTAGATTAGCTCTCACAGACGGGAACTGTGACTTTAGAATTTTATTTGAGAGATGAAAAGTCGATAAGGCAAAATTTGTCAGTCTGAGAATTATATCAATGTGTCTTACGATCATAATTAGTTACCTTTTCAACAATTGTAAACAGAAGTTGCAAATGTTGCTCGCAAAATTTAGAACTAGAATAGCAGATTGTAAATCAAATTAGATATCAACTGAAATTTCTAGATAATTACGTTACATTACAATTATACCTAACGAGCATGCACTTAGCAAGGGCAACTGCTGCAGCATTTTGAAGTCCACGCTCATTAAATTTCTTAGAGTTGCCACATACAGCAACAATAAAATTAGCACAAACGGCTAACATACCGTTCCCTAAAGTGCAGAGAATCATATGTAAGTACTAAAAAATTTAATTTTATTGAAGAGTCACTAATCGCTTTCTCTTATAGGGAGCAATCCGTACCAGTAACCACATTTGAATCACAGAGTTGCCTGATTAATTCCATTTCTGCGTCATCCGCGGCAGCGCCTACACAACCGCCTAAACCAAGGTCATCTTCGTCACTAGAGGAATTGATTTTCTAAAAAAAATTACAGGAATATGCCAATACATCCATTAGATGCCTCAATACACTGTAAGAAACAAATATGTCCGTAATAATTTCAAAATACTTTTTTATTTCCTGAGATGGTTCGGTTATTTTCTTCGGCTTTATCCTCAGCTAGCCTTCGCTCCTTCAATTCCTTCGAAATTGTAACATCTAAATGCACTAGCTGACATAGAGCGACGTCTCCGGCATATGATATGAATCGAGATAATAATCTCGGAGAAATCTCGTTGTGCCCGTCTTCTGTACTTCCTTAGTATCATAACACAGCAACAGTAGCTAAACTTAAAACTAGCTATGATACAGTATACTCAAACTAACAATGGCAAGACTTTGCTAGCTTACCTTCGTTTATATCAGGCATCAATTGCTTAACTATAGATTGCATGATTCTTTTGCAAACTTCTTCGGGTGAAAGAGCTAGGTTGTATACAAGCTTTACAGCTTCTTCCGAGAATGGTACCCAGAACTTACATTTCAAGTTAGTAATACCTGAAATACGCGTACATGTGATAAACTTTAAACATGCATGTTTTTAATCCATATAATACTCCATACAGTACTCTACCTTTACAAAGTATAGTAGTTATTCTTTCAAATATCATATGATCTTCAGGTAGGCGAGCGATTTTTATCTAAATAAGAAAGTTAGTTAAGATTTCGTCATCATCACAATATTAGTCAAAAAATTTGTTAACCTCTTTCTTCCTACGATAGAGCTTTTGTAGTACATGGCATGTATCTTTAGCAAGTACCAGATTATCTTCTCCCCTAAGTCCGAGCCCAGTATCGACAAGAGCACTTATGTTGTTGGCTAGAAAGCTTTTTTCTTCCCTAAGAGATTAGTTGTTATATTTTTTTCTTATTATGGATATTACTAATGTCATAAATTAACGACGGAAATATATAAATCTTACTCCGCAATCATTCCAAGGATAACAAGTGCATAATGACTATCTTCTTGAGTTACATCATTAACCTATTTATATAAATTGTATAACTTAATTGCAACATGTAGGACCATAAACAAACACAGTAAAAAATTAAGAGAAGTTGCTTTTTGTAGTTTAATTGCTAGTGAACTAACTGCCATGATAAAGTAGCCCCATAAGAGGCGGATGGTCTCTTTTAATATAAGTCCCTTGCGCATAAATTCACGGACCTATTTGATGGGCATTGAAATAAAATTCGTAAAAGGTTTATACATAAATAGATTTGATGCGATCCCGTATGCGGTTAACGTAATTGAAGTCAAGAATAAATTGTTTGTTTGAGATATTTTAACGAATGAACGTACAAGTTCTTCTACAGATGTTAATTCTCCAATCGTTGAACCTTTTACCAAAGACAGAAGACCTTGAACTATAGCCTTGTGATCTCTATTGTAAGAGAGTATCAATATATTCTCACAATTAGTGGATATTTAAGCAATCGAAAGTCAGCCTTACATAAGTAGAATAATTACGTATTAAGATGATGCTAAACTTACTTTTTCCTGTTTTGTCCTACAGTGTTTTCTAGGTAAAGTTTCTTGTAAGCTTCAATAACTCCTTCTTTTACAGCTTGTTCACGAGACCACACTAGCGGTAACATTTTCCTAATTCCGTTTTGGCTCACATTGAATCCAAAAGATCGCGCTGTGACAAAGAAGTCGACAGCTTCTAAAACATCTGAAGGCGTCTTGGATCCCAGTAAACCTGATATTATTGGAATCGCGTTTTGAACTTGTTTAACAAAGCCTATAGAATCCTTTAACAAATAACAATGAAGTAGTAGCTCGTTAGGCAACAATTGCCTAGATAAACTGAAAGCAATAACGGCAAATATGATCAGATCCTTACTTGAAGATAGCGTGCAACCAACTTATGTTGTAAGATTTTTTGTTCTATTTCGTTCATCGTCTCTTCCGATGACAAATGATTTTGGGAATCATGATCTTGATCTTCCACTTTGACGACTGGCTTCTCTTGATCTGCATATTAATTGGAATAATAATCAAATTTTATTAATAGGAAACGACAAAACAGAAATGCACAAAAAATTATCCGATTGATAATTATAATTAGAATCAATCAGTAGTTCACCTAAAGTTGATTCCAGTTGTTTTATTGTAGAATTCGTATTCTCCAACGTTAAAGCTAATTTCTCAACATCAAACTTTAGTGATATACAATAGAGATTAATGTTACAGTACTATCAATTTCAAATCCTTTTCTTTCATCATTACAATAATGATATAATTTCACTTACATCTGCTCCGTAAGGATTCCTTGCCATATACGAAGCCAAAAATTTGACAGCATTTCTTCTAACATTGCTTGATTTATCATGCAAACGATCTAAAATTAACTCCACCAAACCAGGTTGTCTAGCAATTGGAACAGCCTATAAATTACATGTAACCCACAAATTAGACGTTATACCAATTTCTAAATAAATTGCCAAATTAGACCCAAGTAACCTTTTCACCGATAACGTAGGTACAGATCTGGATTACTTTCGAACGAACAAAGGCGTTGACGTCATGAACATGAGCCTGTAAAATACATACATTACTTAATTTATTAAAATGTTTTCTACAGCATACAATATTTATACTCTTATTCGTACCTCAAGCCTATCTAAGAAATGATCGCGGCTCTTTTTTGCTGACTCATCTAAATCATCCTTACGCAGTAGTGAAACCACAATTGCACCCATAGTAGAAAGTACTGCATTTCTCATTACATAAGACTGAAAATATTTTAAGGTTAAAAGCTTAATGAATAATATGTATCGAATAGCCACTGGATAATAATAAAAAAAGCTATATATAATCAAGAATATTTAGTTAACAACATTAGACACAAGACTGTACTAGTTTTATTTTAAAAGCATACTTCTCCGTCCAAGTGGGAAATTAGTAGGCTTATATTTGCACTTATAACGAAGGGGATCTTTTCAGCTAGTTCGGCCAAAAAAACTGCATAACCACGAGTACTACTACTATCACGAGATAGTTCCTGGGGCGAAATTCGCGCAATTTCTCTAATTTGACAATTGTATATATATATATTTATTAGCGACTACGACTTGAATAATTTTATAAATTATCGATATTTTTAAGTTTATACAAGGAATTATAATTACCACTTTGAATCAAGCATTTACCTAATTATATCACTTGCAACTGTATTGGCTTGATATTCGTTAACATAAAAGGCAACTGCATCTGCCATGACTGTAGCCAGATGCTCGAAATGTTGGATTAGCTGGACGACTTTAACGCTTGCTCCTGCGTAATAAAGCGGTTATATTATGTATTCAGAGAAAAAATGATAGAACTTAAGCACTTACCAAGTGAATGATTGTATTTCTTGATCAAGATCCCAATAATATGAAAAATAATATCCTTTGTACTATTGACTTTAGCAGATTCCTGCTTTTCCAAGATTGTATAGCAGCAATTTGAAATTAAGCTACAAATTAAAGATTCAACGTAGTAAATTATATTTTTAGTAACGTTTTGTACCACCGAAAAATTGTCTTCAATACTCGATTAGAGGTTATTAAATAGCCTTTATTAATATAAGCTATTCAACATACGTAACGTATTCTTCTTCTACAACTGGAGGATCCCAAAGCCTGCTAATTTCAGTCTGAAGTAATTGCATGATAACGTTCAGAGCGGCATCACGCTCATTCTTCCACGACCAGGATAATGTGGTCGTTTTTTTCTTGGTACCCTTACGACTCTATCGATGATTATTTCATTCAAGAATAAATACTCTTTCCATATAGTATCAAATACAGTAATACACTACTGAACACAAGTAATACAAAACTGATGCTTGACTAGCTCCCTAGTACTAATAACTTTTAAAATTTAGATAATTAAATTTTACCACTGTTGTATACACGTACCTTTCGTGGTGTCACCAAATCGGGTAGAGATTTACTTTCGGAATTTTCAAATATTTCGATAAGGTTAACTAAAACGTAACTTAGCATCTAGAATAAAATAATGTAAAAATATTACGTGAACAACTGTTATAGTAATAGTAACTTGCTCAGCTTTGGTAAAACGTTGCTGCTGAAATTATCATGCTAACTACATGACCTTATTGAATAATTAATTAGAGTTCACTTTCTACTGGGTAAAATTCATCAAGTTACAGTAACCAACGTAACAAAGAAGACATTATTGTAACTGATGGTATGTACGAAGTAAGACGCTTGCAATATTGGTAACTACTAATTAATCCAAAGTAATTCATTAAGAAAACATATTTGGAAGAGAAAGTGCCCTTTTATTAAGTTGAAAGTGAATACCTTTAAAATCTTCAATTCCTTCTTTTTATCATTAATATCGTTTTTTTCTAGCATTACCGTAAGGTCGCTAGCATATTCCTTCATGACTAAAATGCGATTCAAAATAAAATGAAGCATACCGCTTATACACTAATTGATAACATTTCCATAAACTGCTAGGGCTACGGCAGCGATGACAGCATTAAAACACTATTAAAGATATGAACTAAAACTTTTTTTTTCTACGAGTGCAAATGATTGGTTAAGATGCAATTTAAATTTCTACCATTGCATATACTGTATATTGCCTATCTGAATGATTTATAATACCTGACAATAAGGTTGTCCAAACGTCTTGCTTGATCATGACATCCAGTTCGTTATGCTTACTACGTGTGGTGTGTACAAGAAATTGATTACTTTAGCACTGAGTTATAGTGCCGTAATGATGATTTATGTTTATGTTATGGCATATGTACAATTGTACATTGTACAGTATACCCAAAAGATAATACCCTATTAGTAAACTAATTAGAAAGTAGTCCAGTAATTCACTGTCAATACAGTTAAGCTCGGTTAATTGCTCTGAACTATTACTTTATCTACAGTACAGCGGAATATGACCACTATTGTAACAGCTAGGAAAGTATAACGTGTAAGATCTGGGTGCTGTAGACTTGTAATATTCGTAAAGATCGATAGAAATGGATGATTATTCTAAACGATGCCATTTCTTCTACTTTATAGCTAGTGAATGTAGAAAGTAATGAAACGGGCGTTATTTTGGGGTGAGTCTACAGTATTAAAAGACTACAAATGACAGTCTGATTATTTGGCTACCTTGTACTGTAGTACTAAAGAAGACAGCAACTCAATTACAGTATCATCGGAATTTGCAAGTGCTTTAGTTGTATAAACCAACTTTATAACATGTCAATATTTCCCAAAGAAATAAAGTGTCTATGTGTGATCTTTCTATAATTCTATCACATCCAGTAGTAGTAAGTTAGCTGGTATAAGCTATTCATTGAAAGTCTTTTTGAAGGATACCTCTCAGTTTTGATTGGATAATGTATGAAGTAATTGGTACTAAGTAATTGATTCGACGCAATATTTGCTTTATCCTATCCAATTGTCAGATAAAGCAAGCTATCAAACGATCGACTTACGTTAGTACGCTATAGTAGAGATTGAAGACATTTAAGATTTGATCGGCACCATGTTTGCGTAGGTTAGAATTAGCACCTAATTATGAATAAGATTCAAAAAGAATTACAGTTTTAGTCGGTCAGCAGACGTAGAAATGAGATTGTTGTTTTATCTACAGAAATTAATACTCCTACTAAATAGATGCCATCCATGTAGTCTAAAAAGCAGTTGAAGGATTCTGTTACAAAGCTTAAAGATACCCTACTATTTCCTAAATTGAAAAATGACTATGATTGTGATGTACACTAATGTATCCTACACAATCAAGTCGATAGCATTGACGTCTTGGCTTTGAATAGATAAACTTGCAGGTTATCCCTCGTCACAAATACAGTGATGCATTATGACAACTATCTCAACACGATGTTGTCATATTGATGAGACGGCTGTATTTTACGACAATGAGATAGAAAAGTATACAATTTAGGGGGGTCTACAAATTACATAACGATGCATTCGATGTAGGTCTTGACTATGAGTATACAGATATACATCCATTGGCTTGATCATGAAATACAGATCTTGACAGTCTTGTTTACCGTTGTTCAACTGATTTCTCCACAAGAGTACAGTAGAACGACGTCATGCTATTCACTCTTTACACCCCTAACTCAATACCATTCAGATTACGCCAACCTCTTGGGCTAAATATGCCTAGTATAATATTTAGTCAGTGCAAGAATGGTCGATGTAGATGGCAATCCATGACTCGTCTTTCCCCCCTGATGACCACTGCAGTGACTGAGAAAAAAAATTCACGTCGTTGAAAGCAACTACTTACTTCCAATATTACATTGAATTTCTCGCGTGGTGGCGACTTCTTCAACCACATAACTATTGATTTCAGAGACATGAAGTAAATCTTCCATTTTAAGTGGTAACTTAAAATATTCAGCAGAATTCATTGCTTTTCTCCCAACTGGATTCCAATGAACGAGAATACTTGGTGTTAATTGTGTCAGTAGCCTGCTGGACACGTCCAATTTCGGAAAAGGAATTTGTTGACAGGGAATTCAAGCAGGATTTGGTCCACTGTCCAATAACTCTTTCCACCTGAGCAAGTCAGCTAGTAAGATAGCTTACAGCCAAGTTGAATTTGACTCTTTAACAGCGATAGAATCGGATAATATTGATTTGCTTCTCCTTCAGCGAATAGGCTGATGATATTAATGTGAGTGGCGCAATTTTTTCTCTTCTCTTTTCCTTCAAGAGAGTTTGGTGGTCGCTGATACCAGCAAGTTTATGGATAATAACGTGCAGTACTGATACTGCAATCGCACTCGCCACAGAAGGATTGTCTATGAAGAAAAGATGTCGACCGCCAGGGCAGTATTGGTAATGGCGCTTTCTTTCTGAATTTAAATTTTGCTGGCGACCAATCAGAATGAACGTTGACGTTTCAGTGTACAGTACCTGACAACTACAGTACAGTACTGTACTGTACTGTACTGTACTGTACTGTACAAAGTCGTTTGAACGACCGGAGTGCAAACCGGACCAGGGTGACACTTAAACAGTACTTACTGTACTGTACTGTACTGTACAGTGTAAAAACTTTGAGTACTGTACCTAACAACGACAGTACAGTACTGTACGCTATTCGATTGTACTGTACAGTACTGTACTGTACAAAGTCGTTCGAACGACCAGAGTGCGAACCGGACTCGGGTGACACTTACTTACAGTACAAAGTCGTTTGAACGACCGGAGTGCAAACCGGACCAGGGTGACACCTACAGTACAGTACAGTACAGTACAGTATACTGTACACTGTACAGTACTGTGTACAGGACAGTACAATACTGTACTGTACAGTACAGTGTAAAACTTTGAGTACAGTACCTAACAACGACAGTACAGTACTGTACGCTATTCGATTGTACAGTACTGTACAGTACAAAGTCGTTCGAACGACCAGAGTGCGAACCGGACTGGGGTGACACTTACTTACTGTACTGTACAGTACTGTACTGTACTGTACAGTATACTGTGTACTGTACTGTACCTGACAACTACAGTACTGTACACTGTACAGTACTGTACTGTACTATACTGTACAAAGTCGTTTGATCGACCAGAGTGCAAACCGGACCGGGGTGACACTTGTACTGTACTGTACCGAACAACGACGGTAGAACTGAAATTATGAAGAACTTTGACTTTGTACGTAAATTCTGTCAACGGATTCTCGTTATTTAACTCTTCCTCTATCATTGGAATGAATTAATGGTTGTTTGTTTGTTCACACTTAGCTCGTGGTATGGACTGATTTGGCAAAACTAAACCTGTTCTTAAGAGTGGACTGTATCGTTGAGAGCTGCAGCTAAAAGCACGCCATTACAACACAAAAATGGCATATTTACTTTCGATCTGTGACGTCATTGATGGCGGTGTAACCCGTCACTTCTTCTTTGTACAGTAGCTATCATCGGACCAACACATTCATACCACCCGACTACTCATTTGAGCAGAGGTTAGCTAGCTCGGATCCAATTCATTTCTAGTTGGAAACGAAGCGATCTTACAAGGAATGATCGGGCAGTCAATAGCTGTGAAGGAACATGGGTATTAAATATTTAACCAGCTATATCAACGCTAATGAAAACATCTTCTTGACTCGGATTGAGGTCAGCCATCAAGATGTTGTGATTGATGGATCGGCATTGGTCCATCATTTATACCACCAAAATATTGGAATCGATCCATCGCAGCATTTAAGCTATCGTTCAGGTGGTGATTATCGACAGTTTAGTAAGAGAATTGAAGGCTTTTTTACCAAGTTGATGCAATATAAAATTCGAGCCTTTGTCATCTTCGATGGCACTTGTGCACTCAAAAAGTTTAAAATGGATACCATCAGAAGTAGAGCAAAAGACGGGATTGCCAAGGCAGCCTCGTTAAAAACAACCGATAAAGATGTTGTCATATTGCCACCGATGGCTGAAATGACATTCATCCACGTTCTACGCCAATTGCATATACCCTTTGTTAAAAGTGAAAAAGACGCTGACCCAGAGATTGCTGCGCTAGCTGAAAAGTGGCAATGCTTAGTCATGAGCAAAGATAGCGATTTCTTCATTTTTAAACTTAGCCGCGGTTATGCACCATTTGATAAAATCTACATGGATGATGATCATCATTGTCTAGTTTGTTATGCTTATTTTCAAAATAACTTTAGTCAAAGACATCATATACCGCTCTTGCTGCTACCATTAGTAGCATCATTCTTGAGTAATGATTATCTTAGCTATGAAGATTTGCAAGAAATTCATTCTACTTTAAGTGTTCGATTGCATGATACTATAAGAGAAAAGATAATATCCATCATAAACTGGCTTCGAAATAAAAACATTACTTCATTTGATGATTGCTTATCAGCAGGATTATTAACCTTAGTGCCAAAGCATAAATTGGAAACTCTCCTAGCAAAACTGAGGTATTCAATACAATTTTATAGCCAAGATGTCAATGTCAACGCGGTTGAAGGACACCTTCGACAAGAGTTTACATTACCTCAACAATCACATATTTTTGAAAATGATGAAGACGATACCAAAAATTGGATCATTAACTTATATCGATATAATAGGTTTCCATCCTTCGCTCTTGACATCATCTGCAATAAATTCGTAGCTTTTCGACCTTCTATAGAGCATGTACGATTTCCTAGTGTTCACAATTGTACACAAGCTTTACGTGATGTTATCTATGCAATACTATTAAAAGGAGAAGAGGTGAAGGATACAATTATTTACAGCCCCGATCGAGGTAATTGCGCTCGTAGATATGATCATATACAGGAAAAAGATGGGTTTATAAAGGAATGGGATCGAATGAAGGAAAGCCATTACGCTGCAAAGTATGTCAAGATAAAGGAACTACCAACATTCATTTGCAGACAACAAGCCCTAACTCCCATACCTCATTTACACAACCTACGTTTATCCGACCGGAAAGATAGACTGCAATTTCTGTTAATGGTATTCGATTGTGAACACGATTGCTTACGGGAGTTGAATTTATTTTGGTGGTTAATTGTAGCCAGCCTTAGATACTGGTTTAAGAATTGTTTACAAGACAGCAACCATCTCTTGCTCACTATCCTACTTGTTTGTATCATTAATCTTTATTATGATAGCGTTCAAGAATTTCCAAAGGAGAGCATGTAAGCAATAAACTCTATCATTGAATTAACGTTCAATGTTACAAAACATCTAACCTCTTGTTCTCAACTAAAAATCAAAATCACTTACTTACTCTTTGTATATAATTTATGAACACTTTCTAGGGATATCAAGTTGTCTCATTCTTTTATTCAATGGCAATTTGTGTACAAGACCTGTATTTATCTAAATCAGATCGTTTGCGAACCTCTACCGCAATTGGAGCAAGCTATTTACAGTGGCTCATACATTTGTAGTATTTACAATAAAATTAACCGTACTTTAAGTAAATCGGAAAAATCAAAAATTGGCACCGTCGCAGGGGATACTTTAGTGTGTGATACTGAACTTTATTTTAAAATTATCAAGATAGTAACTAAATAACGATTACTGTTGTGATTATTTAGCTATTTGATTCCTATCAAGGAATCTGAAATAAATTATAGCTTGCCTATTTTACTGTTGACTATCCTAACACTTATGAACCCCTAATTGCATACAGAAGAAATGGATTACATTGTACATATTTAGCTCTTGTCAGAAGATTATATAACCATCTACAATCTATTACATGTAAGAACCACATTTAATCAGACATTTAAATTTTATTTTCTTAACTTTATCATTTATATACAAATTTTATAACTTCAATATGGAAATATTTTCAAGTTTTCTGAATGATATTACAGTAATATGGGCCTGCATGAAATAGAACCATCACTTTACTTACAATTGGTTAATTGTGCCGTTGAGCGTTAAAATTATTTATTTATGTTTTAAATCATTCTTCAATAAAAATATTAACTGACTTCTAACCAGATTACGGTCTCTAGATTTGTAAATTAATGAAAAACTCTTACGGTAAGAATCGAAAGATTAAGTGGAGTATGCTCCTATTTCTGCTATTACTGCCCATAAGCCTCATCACTCAATAATTCTGGAAAGTTCGATTGTAACTATTAGCAATCCATTTTATACGTTGTTTCAGCAATGTTGGTATTAAAAGGGAGAACCGGTTAATTTAATCTATTATATAATTCATTCATGCAGTGGAATCGACTATTCAAATCAAGTGTCTTATTAGTACTGACTTCTAACCAGATAACGGTCTATAGATTTGTAAATTGATGAAAAATTCTTGTGTTTACGGTAAGAATCGAGTGATATAGTGGAGTATGTTGCTATTTCTGCTGACCATAAGCCTCGTCACTAAATATTCCTGGAAAGTTCGATGGTAACTATTAGCAATCCATTTTATACGTTGTTTCAGCAATGTTGGTATTAAAAGGGAGAACCGATTAATTTAATCTACATGTCAGATTACGGTCTGTAGATTTATAAATTGATGAAAAACTCTTGTGTTCACGGTAAGAATCGAGTGATGGAGTACGCTCCTATTTCTGCTACTACTGACCATAAGCCTCATCACTAAATATTCCTGGAAAGTTCGATTGTAACTATTAGCAATCCATTTTATACGTTGCTTGAGCAATGTTGGTATTAAAAGGGAGAATCGGCTAATTTAGTCTACAATTCATTCATGTAGTGGAATCGACTATTCAAATCAAGTGTTTTCTTAGTTGATCAAACTGACGCTATAATACTACAGTACGTTAAAATAAACTACGACATATTGTAACATAAAGGGCTCCCACGCTAACAAGCATTTAAGAAGACTCCTAAATGAAGGATATTCGTTATAAGCTGTAAATAAATAATTATTTTTGATTAAATTAATGGATAGCAGGTTTAGTAATTGGTATTGGACTCTTTTCTTTATCAGCGTGTGCTACGCATATTCTAAATTCATTAGTACGAAATGGATTATATACTTGACCTCCTTAATGTCAATCAATAAGCTAAGTGGATCGGTAGGTACAAGTGAAGTTTATTGAAAGCCCGTTAGGCTTTTATAGTAGAGCTCCGTAAGATTACAGTAATCGCGTAATACGTTAAGGTATCTGATAAGCGGTAACATACGCTGTAAAGCAGTATACAACATACACACATAATACAGTGGTAATACGGTCTAACACGTAAGATAAGCGTATAGTTTAATCTACATTAATCTACACTTAAGTCATTGCACATCTTCTAGCCGTCGTAAGTGCTAGTATCGTATTAAAATAAGCCAGTACCGTAAATTAATTGATATTTATAGTTGATATTCTGTAGAATCAGCTCTAAAAGGGCCTTTAGAATACAGTAGTAGTCGCAGAATATTATTCCAGCAGAAATTTCTTGTGTATATGGTATAAGTATACGCTACGTAGTATAATAATGCACTTGACAGTACAGACCAGGACTGTATTACTATTCTACTGTTTCTACATGACTATAAAATTATAATTTCTTGAAAAACATAATGATTGATATTAAGGATGAAGAGCAGATTTATTTGTAGATTGAAAATAAACGCACACAGGTAGAACATTAGAGAGACATACAGGAGGAGGCTACTACCTGGTAGAATAGAATATCGACGGATTTATATTAAACTGTATAATAATCGATACGAAGGCAGCTAGAATGTGCTCGATCACTTACCACTGTACGCAGTAGATAGTACTTCTATACCGTGGTTACATGGGTATCCTATAGAGGTACTAGGAAAAATTCTCGAGTGGTACAGTATGACTGAAGTAGTCTATACAGTACTATACTATAGTATGACTCAAGCGACAGATAGAAAAGTTTTCGTTAGAGCAACCCAACTCGGCAAATCGAGAAGCACTCGAGCAGTTCTTGTTGCATAATTCTTCCTAGGATAAGCTTCACTGCGATATTATTGAAAGATTCCTTGCAAGATTACTGTAAATTAAACAAGGTAAAGGTCAGGTTAGAAGGTATCATCCTTTCTTTTACGTTACTTTTGCCATATCAATTACAATCCGCTAAGATGAAATCATAACGACATACCTCTAGACGCGTGTTAACGCTCTTACTTGTACCATTCAGTTTTCCATTTCATGCTATTAACTGTAAACTAATACACTGTCAAGGGTATCTACTGTACTGTAAGTATCAAGAAATTGATGTAATATTCCTTTGGATGCAATTGAGTCAATTGTAAATTGGATCTGAACAATATCGATAAAATTAAATCGTGATTCAAGTTCTTTTGACATTTGCATTCAGTGTAGGTAGCGATATCGTCTTTTATTCTACATCCAAATCATATACTCTTGATTCGAGATGCTTGAAGATCTTGTAGTAAGCCTCTTTCCCTTTCCTGGGATTAAAAATAGAATTTTCATGGTAAGTCAAATGAATTAAAAGTAGAACGTTATCGTCAATATACGTTAAATGTCTATATAATTTCAGTATAATGAAATGCATGTCACTTGCCAATCTCTGCTACTATCATACAGTACAGTACAGTCAGTTAGAGTCTATCTTATTAATGCCTTAATGGTATTATGGAGAGCGATAAAATTACGTCTTACTGCGATTCGAAAGCTATTTCCCGTGATCACAGTAGCGACTAGAGACGTGTTGGAAATGGTAAAATGAATTGGATGCCGTTATTACTGTACTGTACAAGTTGACATTGCCTTAACGATACAAAACGTTTTTACACAAGAAATATCTTGTCTATGTCATGCTTTAATGATAAATATGATACCATAATGATATCAACTGTAGACTAAAGATAATTTCCCACGACTATTCGTCCATTATATCAATTGAAAGTACTATTTAGATCATACTGCTATTTCCTGTACTATACCCTTACATAGGTGTATATGATATTCAAGATAAATTACTAGTAGTAAAGAGCAGCGACTTTATAAATAAATTTCTGTTTTGCGTCGTCTAAAAAAAGCTTATCCTTAGTATTTTCTAACTACGAAATCAAGATACCATTCGTAAAAAGTGTGTGCATATCTACAACTAAAATTAATAATCTAGTAAAATTATTTTAATGATGTAATCATGACATTTGCTCAATAAAAGGACTATGAAGGGCAGAAATTGGCTGAATTTGTCATGCAAGCAATCATATTAATCTTTGCGGTAAGTTTATCATTAACATAAGCTAAGCATTTCATAACGTTAGATTTGTAAGTTACCTAGATCAACCGTGGATAAAAGTATCAGTTTTCATACATGCAATGTAAATATGTATGAAAAAAGTTGCGAATTTTGTAATATCGTATGAACTGCTATAATACTGTAACCTTCCTTGACATTAATGTGAAGTCGCTTTGCCCTAATGGAAAGTTTTATTGACAGTTTCACGTCAACAAAATCCTATAGGAATGTAATCTTATTAGAATGGATTAGATCATTTTGTAATACTAGCGAAAAGTCCTTGGTAGTATTGTGTCTCATACATGCCGATTTAGGTGGATTGGCTATACAACTTTCATGTATTGCGATAATGAATCGTGAAACATTGATTACATCAGTTTACAGCATTCATCTCTTAATCTCATACTGTACTTTTATACATGCCTCCAATAATTTGGCTTTCTTTGGATTGCTGTCTTGTTTTACTGAAATCCTGTGCAATCGCATTTTGTATAAGCTATTACTGCTAATATAATTAACAAGATTATGACCATGTACACGTATCGAATAGGGCATCGGACTCCTTTTTGGTTACTACTATGATACCTTTCGTGTAACCATGATGGTTTATGGCGCTGGAGTTGCACTTGCTACAATTGTGAGTTTTAGAATTCAATTTGCTAATTTTTACGTATTAAGATTGAGTAAGCGCATTGTTACTAAAATTATGCGTGATACAAGTAGATGAATCATTCAGCGTACCGTATTCTCATAATTTATAATCGAATATATTCGTCCACTATTGAGTACAGATTGCACGTTCATATGTTTGAATATCTAGTGATGATAACAGATGCTATTTCAAGATTGTAGAACATCATGCGTTATATTTATTAATGATGTTTAAAGATAATAGACGAGAGAGTACGTGTATATACAAATTTGATAGACACTCATATAATTTTATACGTCTTCTTTGAATAAAGGTTACGGTGCCGCCATGGCCTATTTATCGATCTCATCCGTTACGCTGGCAAACACCTAAGGTATCTACAGATATTAAATCACCGAAAGAGAAAAAAAGCAAATCCAAAGGAAGAAAATAGCATCTCATCTATAACATAAAAAAAAGTTGTTCTGTAACGGTGTTTATCCATTGTAATAAGAGATTTTGAATAAAGCTGTAACATGATTCGAAGACGAATAAAACTGAATGTTTGGAAAAGCGAAACGACAACAATATCTCATAAAATAATCGAAATAATCTTACGTTTTAGATTTACTATAGTTTTTTTCTTGTAAACCTATTTAATTGCTTGAATGACGTTACGCGTTGCAGCAAGCAATTTTGAAAAATTCTTACTTTTCATTATTGTCAATTTAGTGCATTACTGGTACGAGCAAATATTATAAAGCATGCGCTAAATTATAGAGGCAAGGATAATACAATGATCACAAGATCAAGTTTTTTTATTATCTTTATTTAGTAAATCTTCTACACCAGTGGTTCAGGGTGACCCATCACACTGTACAAACTCATTACTTTATATCGCAGCAATTATGCACGTAGTCATGTCCATCCTTATTTCTAAGGAGTATAATGAATATCTCACCATTGAACGGAACATCGTGTATTCGCTAGTTTCTATTTCTATGTAACATTTGATAACTTTATAAACCCTCGATGACTACCTCAGTTTGGTTGCAACGGCCATGCACCTAATATTATATTTTAATCAAGTTTCCTCAATTTTTTGATTTCTTAAAAACCTTCCGTGACTACAAAACTGATAATTTTTTGCACCAATTAAGTTATTTTAGTACTCATTTTAGGATATTAGTGGTGCAAAAAATTAACATCCTGACCTGTAATATTTAAGTACATTGAGTGCTATTACCTTAGCTCAAAATTAGGGTCTAGTAAAACAACAGAGTAAGACCACTTTTAGGTATGGCTCCGTATTATATAATTTCCATTAATGTGAAGCCTTAAAATAGGCAGTTCTTGGGCCTATAGTCTTATATCAGGCTCGTTCTACTCATCCACAGAAGTGATTTATTTTAGGGCAATTATAATCAACAATCAAACGCATGTAACGGATATTAGCTATTTGACTGAGTAATTCGATGTGCTATGATTCTTACAGTATAAATCTTGATTGATTTATTGTCGTGCTACAAACCGATTTCTGTAATGAAAGGTTACTTTATAAAAGCTAAATAAAATAATGATATTTTCATCGCAGAATCTACTGCAACGATAACTTAAAATTCTATCAATATATGTAGCTATGTGCTATATAATCGTGATAAATGAAATTATCAAAGCAATCTGCCGTCAGATACAGAGGCATCAGTGCAACTGAGTGCTATAAAATGTAAATAATAATAAACTTAAATGACAAATCGAAAGGTACATTAAGAGTGACTTTGTAACATATTGTACATAGCCACTAGTCTAGTGAAATCATAACTTATCATGAATGTATACGTGTACCGCCGCTATTACTAGCGGTTGTAAATCAAAGGGAAAGACAAACCATTATAATTATTATCGAAAGGACAGTCCATCCTGATATAGTTATTAATATATATGAATATCCAGTATTATAACGATGTAACGCTAATACACAGCTTTATCTGCCTCCAGAGAGAATAGCTGATCTAGCACCTTCCATAAATTGCCACCCTGAATAAAGTCATTGTCTACCATATTTACCAGTACGAAATTACGTACGGCAGCAGTTATAACCTGACGAGATTTAGACTCTTCCGGGTAAAGGTTGGCCCACTGATTAGTCCACAACGCAAACGCTTCATCCTATGTGAACCGAATGCAGTAATTTTAGTACAGCAATACCATCTTGAATAGAAATGATAGCGGAAATATAAATTAAAAATTGATGAGATAATACCTTCCAATAACTAAAACTGGTAGGATCAACTACTGTAGGTTGTAGGATTTCCCTTCCAGGAAATACTCCCCATGTTACTGCTATAGGTTGATGATGATCGGAATTCGATACATTAATTGATTCCTATGTTTCATTAAAGTGATCAATAAACATGAATAACGTAAACATATCATACTAGTGTTGTAGCCCAGCTAAGTCACTAACAATTTAAATTGAATTTATCTCTTACACTCAAGTCTAGAGCATGATAGTTTATCATCGGAAAGTTAGGAAGTACTTCTAAAAGGGTCTTAAATCTTTCAGCAGATATAAAAAATTCCAGGTACGCCTGCAAAAAATATAATAAGTTGAGTAACAGTAATTAGAACACACAGCTTAAGAAACATACGATGATAATGAAATACTGCCTCATTTTTATGGTCATGTTAAAATATTAAGAATCAGTAGGCACAATTGGTCAGGCGTATAGCAGACACTAAGCTCTGCTATCGATGCACGATGAATTATAATCTTAATTCGTTCACGAATTAGACGGCTATATTATTAATAATTATCAGGATAAGCTATCATTAATGTCATTAAAGTAGCAACCTTTTGATAAACGTAACCATTTGGGCCACCCCAACCGAATACTTCGTGGGTTGAAGGTAGAGCATTGACATTCGGCTGACTATTGATAGTCAAAATTCCTTTACTGTTAATGTATTCTAAACTCTTCTTAATAAATAAGGTCTCTAGAGCTAATGCATCATTACTCCAAGGGAGCGCGTCTACCTATATATATATACGGATGATAAAACAGTTACTTCGTAATAAGTTTACATAAATGTACTATTATAAAAGTATCGTTGATATGAATAAATAGCAAAGTATTAACTATTACATGCTATAGCGCCAAAAAACCGCAAATTTACACGTACTAGGCAGGATAATTACCTTATAACCATACTTATTACGTTCTCCTGAAACAAAGCATGTAAAAATCTCGTAGACATCTTCTACAGATTCTAATTTTTCTCCCCACATTTTAAGTAATTCATCTTTCTTAGAGGTGTTCTAAAGCGGTGAAACAAATATTTTTTGATTGTATGATACAAAATTGTCAGGAAACTAATATACTGGATGCCTATTTAAGAACACAAACCTTTAAATAGAAAATGTGATAATCCTTTAATTCGCCAAACGCCGGACTTGCAGAACTGCCCCACCGACCATTGGGATATTCATCCCACATCATTGTACGATGGACATAACTTTTCGGCCTTGATGCCCAGAATATCGGTCTAACGTCTTCCGAAATGCGCTTTCCATTAGCCGAAGGTCTCCACGGAAGACTTTTATAGATAGATTCTTCATGCCATAGACCAACACGCTTTAGCAATTTCACAACAGCTTCCTAAAACCAAAGTATTTTTATTTCGGCTTTAATTAATATGTAATAAACATTTTAAGCTCATTTGTTGTTATACCTCTCTATTTAAGGTATAAACATGAATTCCGGGTACATCATCAGATGCTAGTAGTTTTTTACATAAATTAGTAGCTTCCACAATGCCAAATTTGCGAATAGCCTCATCATTATCCTTGATTGATTCTATAGTGTCGAGAATTCGTTGGGGTACTGGTAGCTTCGATAACTGTACCAAATGACGAAGTGAGTTGTACCCCTATGTACCCACGTGCAAGAAAAATTTCGTTATTATTTCAGCGGAGTAATCTCGATAAATAGTATTGTACCTATGATGCACTTAACAGTTTCTATATCACACCTGTATCGGTAAAATACCAGGAATAATTGGTGCAGTGATACCAGCATTTCGGCAATCGCGAAGAAATTTAAAATAGGTTTCGGCATCAAAAAATAACTGGGTGACAACGAAGTCGCCACCATTATCGAGTTTTTCCTTTAATCGTCGAATGTCGTCCTCATATGAGGAACATTCCGGATGGCCATCTGGATATCCTAACATTTAAAATACAAAGTTACAAATTTTAACTCGGATTGGCAGTTATAATTACTTTAATATTGATGCATCAATCTACTGTACGTCAAAAATAAGTGAATTCCTAAAAGCTTAAATGTTTGTTACGTAATATGTACAGTGCAGTATATTATGCAATAACTGAGTGGCACAGAAACGTTTTACGGTTGATTAAGAACCTGCTTATAATTGGTCATAGATCGTGATCAACAAATAATTTGGTGATCGACTGATCGTATATTTCAAGTTAGGTATAAAACCAGCGATCTTGTTATTTATTTACGTAAACAAAATTAAATAGCTACATATAATACATGCAGTCAAGGTAATTTTAGCGGTGACTTTTACTTGAATTAAATCATTTACAACGATTTATAACATTCACAGGTAATTCGGATAAATTTTTATATAATTTCCTAACAGTCAATTTTTACATATGTAACTAACCAGCAACTGCAATCCCAAAGTAATTTCCAAACTCTTTTCTAATATGCTTAACCAGATCAGAAGCATATTTTAATTCCTTTGTATGCCTGACCGATTCATCAATAGAATCGGATACATCTACATTTAGTTATAGCAATTCGTTTAATAATTTCGGTAAAAGTAAGCCACTGTACTTTTCCAAATTTCCAATTCACATTAATCAATGCAGTTTATCATAGATCGAGCTAGATCTTCTAACTTCAATTAACGTATTCTACATGCTACTTAAGAATTTAAATATATAGAATAATTAACCTCCTCTCAATGCCAGTATATTTCGTAATCCTTGCTTTTTAGCCTTACGAAGGTATTTATCGATATCCTCCGTAGTTGAATTAATACATGTCATGTGTAGCATGGAATCTAGTCCACAGAAATTTAGCGCTGCACTGGCTATAGTTAGCGAAGCAGTAACTTCATCTCCACCGGAATTACCTTTTGGATGCCAAGTAACATCAATAAATAGTGGATTGCCGATAGCGAGCCTATCAAAGCGGGCAATAAGGTTCACGCCTCCGCTATCCGTTCGCGGCGGAAAAAATTCTAAGGAATAAAATTTATCTCCGGAGTTTATTCTTTTCCTAATTTTTTGAATAATATGAGCATCATCGTAGTTATCATCGACGATGCCATCAGTAATAACCGATTTTTTCGCTCCGTATTGGCAATCCATTGATTTGTATTCAGTACCGATGTACTTATCATTAACTTTTTCAGTGGTCATCTTCAAAGACACAACAGATAAATCTAAACGTGTAAATACGTTAAAACAATTAATGCTGTAATACTTTTAGGTGATTCTCACTGACATTTACATCTGCAATATCATCTTACAGTCATAAGACGTTATAATAATAATATCAATAGCGTATTCAATATCAAACCAACGATAACCTATAATCTGCAGTAAAGATCATAATCACTTTACAAGAATACGCGTATATCGTAAATTGCTAGTTTACCGCACGATGCAGGTAACTTTACAGTAAATGTAAAGTAACGTAAATATTTTTAAGGTACTGTAGGCTACTGTATTGCTCTAACTCATGACATTCAACTATACTGTATGTTATTTGCACCCAACAATTACTGCACCATTAATCATTAATTGATCAAAATACTTAATAATTAAAAGTTGAAAGGCGGCGAAAATTAATGAGAACTGCATTCAATACGAATACTGTACAGTATCGAAGGACTACTAGCAGCAGTTCCACCCCGTCCTTGCAGTATCGGTGTCGGTTTATCACGTAAGCTAGTATTACGCAGACTGATGAAAGTGTTTCTAGTTTCGAGGCATTACGAATTTACAAACACAGAAGTATAGTACTGTACTTTAGTTATAAATCCTTTAATCACTGGCTCAAATGTTCGTTCAAATTTTTTTATCTCGTTTTAATTAATTGGTTATACTGGAAATTCGCGGTCAAGTCAATGCAAGACCAGGAACTATTACTACAGCAACAGAATTTAAAATTTTGGAAATGCTTTCAAACAAGTCGAGAATACTGGACCGTTAAATTAAAATAAAGTTAATGTTAATCTTACAATCCTTGGAGATCGTCGATAAAATGAACGCGTTGTCATCTACAGTTACAGCCACAGTTGTGTAGTGGAGCATAAACAGTTTTGAGTAATGATATTATTTTTGTCTGTTGTCCTGTAGCTCTACCCATAGTAGTACAGTACAGTACTATTATAGTAATACGCACATTAGCAAAGTACGGCTAAGACAAATAATAGTTTAGTTAATTCGTATTCCTTATTATTTATTCATTTATTACAAACAATGCGTGCATGTCTACAGTACTATAAATTTAAGCGTTTAAAGATAAAGAAAAAATTGGTGACAGGGTGTATATATTGAACGGAAATAGCTGACCTACCTGATGTAAGTCATAGACAAATTTTAAAGCTAACGTACTTAATTATAATAACAATAATGTTAGCAATCCGATGTGTATCTTAAGCAGGTTAGGAGTTGCATATAAACTACTTCTAGGTACACAAAAAAGTGTAAATAAATAATAATGTAATCATTCGCCCTTTCTTTTCACATAATAAGGTCATGTTTGTAGAATCTGCGATTCGTACAGCGTGCTACTGTAGTAAATTGGCTCATAGCTATTTGCTAGAAATCCATTTACGAAATGAAACCAACTTGATTGTGCTTGGTACTAGGTACTGACGACAGAACTAAATCAAGTCTTGCATACTGGAGATATCGTAGGTTTGCGATGAATTATAATCATGAGGTACTTTAGTATGTAAAAAAAATATAATAGCAACTCGGTCGCGATACATTTTGTACTGTACGTTCAGAATCAGCGGGATATGGCATAGAAATAATGTCGTACAAGTGCATCATTTGATTTTTTATGCCCGTAAGCTATTTGTGAATTCTTATTGATAACTTAAAAAACTAGTACAGACTATTACGTTCATTGCGGCTACTATCTGCACACACTACGATGAGACGTATAATTAACCTTAATACGCGTATAATGTACGCATACTGTAATTCATCAATGTAACGTTCCAAATGGCTGCAACGTTGGGTCTAGTCATCAATCTACTTTCTCTTTCTCAGAAACATGGTTTAACAGTTCTTGAAGATGATTTAATATTCTTCACTAATATAGTTGCGTAACTGAACATATTTTGATTACTTACGTAGTCAATATTTACACCTACTGTAACGCTGAAATATTTTGCCTGCTCAAATTCAGGAATCGTCACGGTAATATCTGACTTGTACAGTTGATGCAGACTTCCAATCCGCTCAATACTTCATTTATTCGTTCGCTTATAGTATGTTTTAGGTACAAAATTTAAAAGAGTATATGATCCCAACTTAAAGGTCATTTCAATGTTTCACCTCCATGTTGTTTTTATAGCAAAGCAGATCAAGTTAATTTGACAAAGCTTCTGCAAAACATTGTAGTAGAATCGTAACAACTACCACCAATTCACAGGAGAGTTAGGCACAGTTCACTAGAATCTTCATTGGAGAGCGTAACTCTGACGTATTTTATTTGCAAATTATTTGTGATGATGCTGAAAGGGTTGCATAAATCACACGTTTTATATATATAAACTAGCTTAACTTGCACACCATGCCGCATGAATGAGACTTTTTATACTATGGTATATTATGTGTAATTCATAGGCGATGACTTACGATGACTTATGCAGAAACAGACAGCTACCTCACTCACATGACACTAGAGTATTTGAAAAAATGCACATGTAATAATTGAATTTAGGACGAGTAATACGATTACAGTGCAGTACTGCTACAGAGTAGCGAATGAATAAACTTATTGGTACTGTATTGACGTACGCTATGTCTCATTGTGAATTTTAAAAATTATAGCTGAATAACCGAAGTCAGTCAGTGAATGATTCCGTGGATGGAAAATATAGCATGTAAATTCTTTACTCTATGACAGAAAATATCCATACATGCGAGTAAAATCGATTGTGTCAATTCAAAGAAAAATTTTCATTGAAGCAGAGGATCATTGGATGAAAATTTTCCTCTACAATTTCAATGTAATCGACTCTCAAATTCTAGTTATCTATACAACATTTTTACAAATGGATACATGTAGCGTACTCACGAGAATTTAAAATGGCTTCCTGGCAATAGAATATACAGCACAAGACTCTTCAATCTGAATTCAATTCAAAGCACCGTCCTACTAATTTTTTGCGCTTGCAAGCAAGGACTTCTGGCTATACAGTACTATACAGTATAATCTACGGAAAGTCGTAGTTGCTGCCTGTTTCCCGTAAAATAGTAGAATGCAAAGCAAATGAATGTAAAGTGGCTATGGTAGGGATATATATATACAGTAGTACTGTACAGTATGGTACTGAATGTTACGGTGTACAGTACAGTACAGAATATTAAATGTACTGTACAGTACACTGTACTCAGTGTACTGTACTGTACCCCTGTACCAGTTGTCCGGTACCGTACAGTGATACAGTGCTGATGGAGAGCCGAAAGCGCATGTCAAGAACGAAGAATCCCTCATGCTCATGTGATCAACAAATATGAATGTAATGTACAGTACAATACAGTATACTGTACTGTATCGTATATTAATAATAATTAATTAAGTATTAATTAATGATTATATTAATTAAACCATGAGATAATATTATTCAATGTCGAGGAGTGACCTATCAGACCACCATCACCATGTTTCGTACGTGATACACTAGATACGGTGCAATCAAACCACGTGTTCCCAACATTGCCACGTCGCCCAAAATTCGAATATTCCAATAGCGAATTCTAAAGTACAGATACAGTAATCCCTAGTCATGAATTCTCATAATACTGTATACCCAAATCTTCGTAGCCACTGTAGGGGACTCATGACTTCGAACAAGTCCCTGGCTAATGTCAGTATTTTGCGCGTCCGATTCAAAATGATGAAAGCTTCTGTACTGCAAATATGAATTCATGATCAATATTGATTATTGACCATGTCAAATGTTGAATCAGTAGTCTGGTAAAATGTATTGTAACAACATGGTAACAACTAATAATTAAATTACTGTAACTGATTGCCGATACACACTGTACTGTACTTCAATGAAAATTTCGTAATCCATGATACAGTATAGCAATTTTTAATTTGGAAGCAGTACAGTACTGTACAGTAAATACTACAAGATGTGGAAATTTGAACAAAAATAGCTATAACTGATAAATATATCATTCTTATAGCACAGGATAGTAACGACATGGTAACAACGAATAATACAATTCACTTGTTATGGACTTGTGTAAAGTATAATCAAAATTTCATAATGCATGCTATACCAAAGTACAGTACAGTACTAGTTCTCGTACTGTATTCAAATTCGAAAGGCAATATCGTACTATCATTACAACGTAATGTTGAAATTTTGATGTAAATAGCAACGACGTATCACTCTATAGCTATGGTTAGGGCTATAAATCTATGTTTGCTGTAATATTCTACATCGTTCTGAAAAGTCACTCCGAACTTTGATTGGCTAGCTTTGACCCTAGTAATTCCATGGACTTGTAGTAGAACTACTCATACACAAGAAATTTGAAATGTGGACCTGTTGCACAACAATGTTTAATTTCTAGATTTTTCAGTTGACAAGTGAATAGAATCTGTTATTAATCTAACTTAAGATACACAACAGATTCATTATATTATCATCCAATACAAATACTGCATGTCTGTGATTAAAGAAATGCAGACCTTTGAACTATTTTTAAAAGATTTTAAGTTACGATTTTATTCAAGCACAACGTAAATCTTACAAACAGTTCACGATCCAGAAAACCAACAACAAATAGCCCATGCATACTTTTAGTTAAATTATTGTCTACCGCAGTAAAATATCAACAAAGTTCTTCTAAGTTAAAGTCTATTGTTCCACGTTAAAAATACTCCGTATGAGTTATCAGAAATGATCAAGTTAAATATATTAGCAGTCAGATAGGATCTGCCCAGCACGACACACTCAGATCAGTAATGTTCTAAAATTAAAATTTCTTGACTGCTATAAAGTATACATTACTGTACTGTATAATTATAACTGAAAAAAATTGGACGGTTTTATTTTAGATATGCTGTATACTACAAATAAGTAGTTCAATAATATAATTATTCATTCATTATTAATTAACTGTATAATTACTAGTACTGTACAGCATTGAAAGCGATCTTGATATATATTTTGTATTTACTAACTATAAAGTTTAGTTTCTAGTCTCTACGGTTAATCATTGCTTATATATGTGTAATATAGTGAACAGATAGCCTACTGTATGTTGTCTATGTAACCATGGTACTGATGTACTGTACTATGTGTATCAATACCTTACAGTATACGTTTACACCGGTCAGTGATATCACATGCTAACTGCCTACGATAAATTAAATTATACATTATACTGTATACAGACAAATACAATACAGAGCAGTACAGTATAATATAGATCGATTGATATTCTGTTCTGTCTGGTAGTAGCCTCCTCCCGTATGTCTCTCTAACGTTCTACCTATGAGCGTTCATTCTCATTCTACAAATAAACCTACTCTTCATCCTCTCATCATCTTTAACATCAATCATTTTGTACGTATTTCAAGAAATCATATTATAATATGTACTGTACATTGTACTGTACTCTCATGTACTGTACGTGTTAATTAAGCTTATTACACATTCGTGAATCGAGTCCGTGATACTGTACGGCCATACAGTATTACCGTGTCTTTGTTTGAAATAAAATAAATAAATCAATTTTAAATTTTAGCGTAAATACGGTCTGTACAGTGTACTGTACAAGTATATAGTAATACGGTGTGCTTATTTTGTTTTCAGATTGGCGAAATCCTTCTCGAGGTGCTTTAAATAATGAAAAGACCTATAAATTTCATACCGGTACTTTAGAGACTATACTGTTCTGTACTGTACTGTACACCACACGAACTGTACTAGTGTTCAGACTAAAGAAACGAAAATCGCCCGGTTTTTACGGTGCAGTACAGTACATTATGAACAGTGTACAGTACTGTACTGTACTGTACAGTACTGTACATTATGTACAGTGTACAGTACAGTACTGTACTGTACTGTACAGTACAGTACTGTAGTCATCGTCTTTATTGCTCAGTATGTAGTACTGTATCACTAAATTAGTCACCAGCAACTCCGAGAGTATGTTTTCAAGTCTTGAAAAAGATCGGATCAATATATAAATCGACTGTGCCTGTCTGGAACAGGAACCTTTGACGTTATCAAGAGCTATATTATCTCTAATTTATCCACTGCATTACAGTAAAATCCAATCTTCTAAAAGTGCAAAAGCTGCCATTGCAGTACCCATATTTGAAGGCATGGGAGATACCTTAACATTATGGCTGGAAACGGTAGTGCAAGAATGTTATTACTATTAACTAGTTCATTGATTGTATTTGCCAAAACATGAATATGCGGTAGAATGAATGTTAGCTCTGCCATTCAGTAGTAGTTAATGCTTACAATAGGGTTGTACCTTGTATTTTTGTTTTAAATAACTGGTATACAGTACATTAATTACAATACATGTTACATCATACGAGTATTACTAGCTAAAGCTATTCATTATTCACTGTTATCTAGTACATCATTATATTATTATTATCACTTGTAATAAGATACGTACTCGTATACTATGTTATTTAGATACCAGCTACCGCAAAACGATGGCTACCTAAGCATCAGAGAGACGATGTGCATACGACGCCGAAAGAGGTATACAAAATATGAATAGTGTAATTTGAATTTACTGATAAGTTTTCGTAAACAATCCGCACAACTGCATGAGTCAGTAAGTGCAGCCTTCAGTATAGTTAATATGTATTTATAATATACACACTTATGAATACATTTTATAAACGTCTAGAAAATGCTAGGTGTCCTTAATAAAATAACACCTGAACGATTCGACGTATTGGTTGATCAAATAGATCAGCAGGATGTCGATAGCAAAGAATGCCTTCGAGAAATTACAGATCTAATCATTGGAAAGGCAAGTGCTATAAACTTTTATTATAACTAACCTACTAACCGTTCGCTTCCAAGCGAGCATCGACAATTCCACACTTTTTCACTCAAACAAATACCTACAGTAATATTCTGTATTTATCTGCCGGTCTCTACAACCATATTTTAATATAGTACGTATGAGGATAAGGATTTTTAAAATGGGCTGTAGCCGAAATTGATAAATTATTAATAATTACAGTCTTACAACTTCTTAATATTGTTATAATGATAGTATTACGAATCTTTTCAATACATTGAAATACAGCTGCAATTATCATTTTAGACCGTTAACATTGTAATGTCTATATCCATCATTTTAGGCGACCACCGAGCCCCTATATTCTCCAACATATGCTCGACTGTGTGCTAGAATAGGACATGTAGGATAAATAGCATTCACAATATATTTAGCTGTGTTTTTAACTCTAGGCTTGTGAAAATTCACTAACTAAATCATTTTACTCCATGGATTAATAACAGTTATTTTCTATTATCTACTTTATGACAGATTTCAGTTCCAAACTTGGCTATTGATCTTAAATCCTTGATAATAGAACGTTACCAAGAAGAATTTAACAATCTAATCAAAATTCCGCCTATATATTCATCGAGCATTACTGGGTCTGATAAGGTTATAAATTCATGATTGGAAACTGTATCGTACGTAAATAGTCATTCTTTTTATAGCTACCTCTTAATACGTATTTTTTAATACTTATTGTGTAATAGTGGTCAAACTATTATGCTAGGAAAACAGCTTTCAATCTAATGACTCTTGGAGGGGAATTATTCAAAATTAAAGTATTGAACATTAGTACACATGCTATCTGGTTATCAATTAGAATCTATGTGCTGCACTTTCTCAATTATAAATTAGCATCATGATAAAAGTGCGTTTTAAATAATTGAACCTAGATAATTCGAGCTCCAATGCTACACGAATTTTTAACTACATTATTAGCAAGACAAGACAATCATTTCTTTACTGAATGTTTTTGTGCTCTAATGGCTGTAGTTGGCAATGAACTTGGTTCTCTGTTATCGGAACTGGTAGTGCAATGTATTCGATAATGTTAATATTATTTATATTTTACGAATATATAATCTATAAAATTCTTAGCAGCTTTCATCTACTCATAATACTTTGAACGTTATATATTTATCGAACAAAGCAACAATTTAATGCCTACTTTGAAGACCTAGAAGCAATTCTTGAAAATAGTAACACTTTACTACCTATTGTAAGATTCAAAATTTTGGATATTATAGACCTTAAAAAGGTATGAAATGGTAGTCATTAAAATAAATTCATCAGATCCTATACTAATGGAGAACTCTTATTAATACCATGTAGTGTTACGATTGGGTATTACTTAGCAACTATTACTGTATGTAGAAGATTTAGAAATTTCTTTGTACTACATCTGTTTCAGTGAGCTCTAAAATATATTGTATATTGTACTTAAAATTTATAGACATCTTATTAAAAGATTTCTTACGCTAGTTTACAGAGAATGGCATTTCTATTGCTACCGATAGCAAATTTATGACATCATCAGATTCTCTACGGATTAGTTACATAATCAATACCTTGAATAGGTACAATTTTAAAATTAATCATTGCTAAATTATACTCTTTACAGAATAATTGGATCCCCCGTAGGAAGGCGGCAATGCCAAAAAGATTGTCCGAATTCAGAAGGCCTAATTTGAGACATTGAATGTCAAAATTTTATTTTTAATTTTCCTCGACTTACTAAAAGTTAAATTGTAGATCATATAATAAAATTTTTTCTGCAGCTCTTTATGCCATCTCATTGATAGCCTCAGTAATTTGATTGGATGCATTTATTATTCCCGCGGACTATCAAACTTGCTTTTGTAATGTATATAGCTGAATATAAAATACTGCTGATATAGTTCAATGCAATTTCCATAAGATATATATTTTTGCTGTAAAGCATACATATGCAGTATGCTAATTTTTGTAATTGGTAGTCTAATACATTGCTTATTTCAGTAGTGTTAGAATCTCTAAATTACTGATGTGATAAAGCAATTTAAAAAAATTGGATCATTGCAACGAGAAGTTGTGTCGTTACTCTATTAAGCTACCGATACAAATTGTATCTTAATTCTTATTTCTTTATGTGAAGAAAAAATGGTACTCTTTCTATTTAATGTTGTATTGTAAACTAAAGTAAAGTGATGTTGGTATGCCATTATGTAATAATTCAAACGCTGTTCCCAATTGTGCTGCATGGGTGAGATAGTGCTACTAACATTACTGCCATACTCACTTTACTATTTGAAAGGCTATGTTAATTATATTGCATATTTTCGAGTTTATTCCTTTCATACTGTACAATTTGGGCGTATCTTTAAGAATGGATGCCTCTCCTGTAAAAATTCATGAAATAATAGAACTAGGAATGCATTTCAGATATTAATCATCTTTTTATGGAATAATATTTGTGAATCATGATGTACAACAGAATAAAAAAAGGTGAAAGAATAATACTATTTGACTTGACTCTGCTTTAAGTAAACGAGTTAATTTTAAGATTGCGGCACAAATACATTATAGTCGGGCTCAAGTTATAAATTAATTTACGAATTATTTCTACCCTTCTTCCTTGCCTGTATGCATATAAACATTATCTATTCTGGAATGAAATTACTTGTATACAGTATATCATGTTTACAATTTATTACCGTAGTTTTCGGTCGAAATCTAGTGTAATAAATATCTAAGATGGAGTATCAACATATCTACAAGTTGATTGCGGATAAGATTTTTTATTTTGTGGATAGTAGTACAACAGAATAACTAAATTGAATTTAAAGTAAATACTTGAATGATACGTATATTTTAGATGATCAATAACCGCGCTGAACGTAATATGTGTATAAGTAAATAGAACCATTCATTAATTACGTTCAGTGCTCAATAGATGGGCTTTACTGTATGCTGATAGAAAATTCAGAGGCAGCCAAGGCTACATTAATTAGGTAGTGAAGCCGACATTTACATCTTTTATGAGTTATGATGTTCATGATAAATATGATACTGTATGACTAAATAATATCATTATTATTGTAATTGTAATAATAATTAATTTTATTTATTCATTGTTCTATTTACAGCAAATAACGATGAGCATATAGTACCATAAATCCTTAAGGTCATGTTGTGATATTAACTTAGTTTATGGTTAGAAAGTTCCAAATACTGTGAATAGATGATTCATTTAATAGTTTGGATTAAAGGCAACTTTTAAAAGATATTCTCTGTATCCTATAAAGGGACTATCCATCATAACTCTTTATTCTTTCAATACGTATTCGTTTCACAGCATCACTGGCCTAATGCCTACAGCACTCCGGTGAACATTTCAAGTGTAATTTCTCCTACTAAACATAAGAAAGTATTTCCTAACTAGTTCTTCGGAAATGGTAAATGGAAAGCTCAACTTTAATATGTACACTGACTGAGCCATTTCGTCGTTGCAGATCGCTAGTGTATAGTATATGCCCGTCTATATAGAGAGAGAGAATATTTTTACTTATTATTATTTAAGAACCACCATATAGGGTTGAACTAGATTTGATGTCGTTGTCGTTCTCGTGATGCAATTCTATATATAGTAACATACGTGATCTAGGTCATACTACACATGCGCATACTCTACACCGTGTCCATTCTAGCACTGTATGAGTACAGTTTACGCTGCAATACGGTATCGTATCGTATCGCACTTCTGTCTGTACAGTACAGTACTATAGAAATTGATGGGTTTAACACCACAGTACAGTGCGTGAGTACAGTACATTATACTGTACAGTATGCTGGTTAAAGAGTAGACAGCAGTGCAACTGTACTGTACAATAACGTACAACGACTTCATCTGGCTGCTGTTTACAAGATATTATTTATTTACGATTCTTGTTGGAAATTTGGGGCAAAAGAAGATTCCTCCACAGGAGAGTTATTTCATAAGATAGCGACAAAATGAGGTGGCAGTACAAAGAAGACTTTCCCTTCGAAAAGAGGAGAAGTGAAGGTCAGATGATTCGAAAGAAATATCCCGATCGGATACCGGTAAGCATACACGTCATCGTAGAAACTACATTTTGCACTGCTTCATGAACGACTGGTAGCATTTACCATGAAAATCACAAGATGCTATGAACAAATTGAGGATATCCATAAAGTAAAATAGTTAAAATGAAGTTATTTTAGTGTTTGAGAAGGAACATTGAATGAGTAATTGATGTAGCGTTTACGAATGTAAAATATCGCTTGTTAAAATAGAACAAATCTGCGATGCAAAATGATACGCCGTATCCAGAGTCATCGTTTCATCGTTGTTTTGACTTGCACGGTACAGTACTGTTCCTTGAAGTACAATCTGATTATGTTCGATGTCTCCCCTTCGTTAAAAAATCAAAGTTGTATTTCGTTGAAATTCCTGTATAGTATTTATATATACCCACAGAAGGATATCTCCGAAGATACTACAGTTGTCCGATCTTCGAACAGAAAGTCTCCGCTTGTATCAAGAGGGAATTCGTTCTACTATTCTACCAAATTTCATTCAGTAAAGTAATGGGAATGAGACTACTGTAGGTAACAGAATTAAATACCGATCTATTCAATGAAGAGTCGATCGATCTGGGACTCTTCCGACAGCTGCATCTAAACTACACAAAGATATCTTTGTGAGGAGCTGACATGAATTTACTGTAACTGTTGACATTCCCATCACCATTGGTTGTATAGGATGGTAAAGCGTAAGAAAATACTACGTCTGTCTCATTTTCGAATGCGGTAGTGCGCGTACTTCTATATTTTATTTTCGTCTCCACCGTAATATATTCATATTTATTGTCAAGTTATTACATTATGACAGTATATTGAATGCATCTAGGTATAGTAAACCCCTTGCGAGTAATATCACTAACTTCGTTTACCAACTAGAACGATTCTTATCATTGCCCAATGTAGCGTTCATATTTAATTACATCTATATCATTGTTCTACAGTATAGTCTCTCACTAACGATAGAGAAATAAGTTTTCCTGGAGAAGGGAGGGTTAAAGTTATTTATACTGTATAATATGAACTGATACCAGCCTGTTGGTTGGATATCGTTAAGATTTACGGTAGAGTTCTATAGTATTTGATTATACTGTACTGTATCGTAGGAAAATCGTCTTCACGTACTACATGTATGCGAGTACTATACAGTGCAGTATTGTAAGTTAGTTTGAGACTTTTCAATATAACAAGTTGCAATATAACTTTCATGGACACATAAGAAGTAATACATCGACTAGTCATTGCTCATTAAATAATGATGCTTCTTTGAATACTTACGATGAGCGGAAATATTGTATCAACTTTGTTTTATTGTGCACATGACAGTTAGCTTGATTTGACAGCAGACTGCGTTTTTTACTTGCGTATGATTGTAGTAACAACGATCGAAAGAAGTAATAAGAAAATCATTAAGTGCTGTACATTTAAACACTAGCACTATCCAGATAAGTTAATGATCTTGCCTTGAGTGAATTGGAATGTTGTAAATCTCGTTCAACGCATGTACTGTAAATTAAACTTAGCTAAGCAGCCGTTTACACGGACTGAATAAGCAATAAACTTCATACTGCTAGTCTGACTAGCACTTTTCTAACTAACAAACCACGCTGCACGCTGTTTTGCATTCTTATATCTTGGACTATTACAATAAATTATTAGTCCATGGTATTTTAAGCGGCTAGGCATGAAGAAATGATCAACATACCCATGATATTAATTTTTGTATCTATCGTAACTTTACTCTCTATCACAGGTAATTGTAGAGAAGGCTCCTAAGGCGCGTGTTGTAGATATAGATAAAAAGAAATACTTGGTTCCCGCAGATTTAACTGGTAAGATTGTACCAGATATTCTAAATCCCATGCAGTAATGTTCTTGCATTATCAACTTTTACTTATGATTTTAATTGTCGTAAAAACAAGACATAATCAGTTTGGACAAATCAGGAGTTAGTACAACAAATTTACACTTGTTTATTCATTATTACTTTTATAGTTGGGCAATTTCACTTCTTAATCAGAAAGAGAGTTGCGTTACGACCAGAAGACGCTTTGTTTTTCACTGTGAATAATGTCATCCCACCAACAAGCATGACAATGGGTTCGTTATACGAAGATCATCATGAAGAAGATTTCTTCCTGTATGTAGCCTACAGTGACGAAAGTGTTTATGGATTATAATGCTATGCGCAATTAAACGGAAAATATAATCTATCAGCAAGTTCCGTCATATAATAATTTCCCAACGAAATTTAGTCAAAATGAAGATTAATCAGCACTATAAACTGCAATGAAGTATTAAGTTTGAGCGACGAATAGGTTATTATGTGAATTTTTACTGACTCTATATTGAGATAAATGATGATGGTGGATACAAGTATTGGAGCAAAAGTTAAGTAATTGTTCTATATCTTTAACTTCGATTATGTAAATTTAACTTTTATGGCTATTAAAAGTTCCTTGCATGTATGGCGTGATATGATACTATTCCAATCGCGTTAAGATCTTCTGTTAAGAAGCTCTAAGAGCTGTCACTAATTTAAATATGTAACTGCATTGAACTATAATAGTAATAAGTAGAATGAAGTGCCTAACTAATGTTATAGTGTGCATAATATCATTATATCACGTACTTTGGTCAAGTAGACTAGTTGTTGAGATGCAACAGCTCGTCTCTGTCAGGATGTTATTTCGACATTGCTGACTACCATATCTATCTGCATGTATACTGACGGATTCGATTGCAGTAACATTTTAAGGCAGTATAAGTTAACTTATTAAGGTTATAAATTGTAAAATTGATGTCCATTAAAACGCTTTAACTTTTTTGAAAAATTAATTCATTTCGCTTTAGCTCAGCAAGTTTATTGAAATTACAAAGAGCAGAGTATACAGCATTGTATCACTTTATTTACGTATCAATACTAGTGAAATATAGTACTATATGTTAACATTAATTAACCTCAGATATTAGCTGTCCGGCCTTGACCATGACAACCTTAATAATGGAACTACCTGTGTGAGAATTTTACCCTATTAAGCAGTTGACATTAGAAAATACATCCATGCAGTAACGTACAAAATAGTAACAAATTTTATGAAAGCGTTTAGCCGATTTATCGCGTACTCTACTTATCCAGAGATGATACTTTACATCGGGCTATCAGCTTAGAGAACACAATTGAAATTAAGCAGGAAATATAAAAATGATAGAGAAAAAGAACTGTATGTACGAATATGTGTGGCATTGGTTGATTACAGTTCAAGACTAGTGTAGACTACGTTGACAGCTTGTTTCTTATCATTCTAATACTATTATTGTACTATCAAATTAAAACATTTTAAACTCTTATAAATGTACAGCACAATACTGATTATTTAAAACCATCGTTTTTCCACGGATTTTAGTACAGTACCCAGCCCCCCCCCCCCCAAAAAAAAATGAACGCTCTGAATAAGTTATTTGAGATATGAACCCTTAACTTGTTAACTTTGAGACAACTAGTAAATCGATAGAGTCCAAGTATTCGTTATTCTACGAAACCGGATAATTTACCGCATTAAATTTACTTTACGCTATATAGGATTGAACGGTGTAAAATATTCAATCCACCCTCGTCATATCAAAACAGATACATTGCTGCATTCGTTTGATTTTACGGTGTATAGGATTGAACGCTGCAAAGTATTCAATTGATGCTCGTAATATATCAAATGTAGATGGATATTGTTTTTATCCTATACTACTACATTGCACAGAGGTAAATTATCCCTAGATCCCCGTCAACATGCTGCGAAAGCGGATAATTTACCGCATTAAATTCACTTTACGCTGTATAGGATTGAACGATGTCCAATATTCAGTCCACCCTCGTCATATTAAAACAGACACATTGCTGCATTCGATTGATTTTACGGTGTATAGGATTGAACGCTGCAAAGTATTCAATTGATACTCGTAATATATCAAAATTAATCAAATGTACAGTAGATGGATATTGTTTTCATCCTATACTACTACATTGCACAGAGGTAAATTGTCCCTAGATCCCCGTCAACATGCTGCGAAAGCGGATAATTTACCGCATTAAATTCACTTTACGCTGTATAGGATTGAACGGTGTCCAATATTCAATCCACCCTCGTCATATCAAAACAGATACATTGCTGCATTCGTTTGATTTTACGGTGTATAGGATTGAACGCTGCAAAGTATTCAATTGATGCTCGTAATATATCAAATGTAGATGGATATTGTTTTTATCCTATACTACTACATTGCACAGAGGTAAATTATCCCTAGATCCCCGTCAACATGCTGCGAAAGCGGATAATTTACCGCATTAAATTCGCTTTACGCTGTATAGGATTGAACGATGTCCAATATTCAATCCACCCTCATCATATCAAAACAGACACATTGCTGCATTCGATTAATTTTACGGTGTATAGGATTGAACGCTGCAAAGTATTCAATTGATGCTCGTAATATATCAAATGTAGATGGATATTGTTTTTATCCTAAATAGCTACATTGCAAAGAGGTAAATTATCGGCCTAGACCCGATTTTGATCACCCAAGCAAAATATTTGTACAGTATGGTATTACCAATCCAAAACAATACCGTCCTTTGGTGGGTTTTCCAGTACAGTACAGTACAGTAACTGGAGTTCTTTCATACAGTACATAGTACTGTACTATTGTCTAAAAAGGGCCTGTACAGTACTGTACAGTAGTGTACTGTAGTGTACTGTACAGTACAGTATCCTCGTAAACGCCAGCAGTGAACAAATACTGTACTGCACTGACAATGACGTGACCGTCAACTGCTCGTGCGGCAGTGAAGCGTTCATTGTGTGACACCAGGGTGCAGTCATGCATACCGGCTACAGCTACAATGACTGTAGTCAGTCGACCATCAAAGCGCGTAAATTCGCGGCGTAATCTGGATCGTTCCATACTCATTGCAGTATGTTTTAGGCCTGCTTGAGCGGCTGTACTACACGCACCATTCAAGTCCAATTGGTTGTAGTCAAAGTACACGAGTTCACACAATAACGTTCAGTGCACCATCTTGGTCAAAGACTTGAAAGTGATAAAATGGCTCTCTATGGTCGCATTTCCTTATTCATTTTTCTGCTAATATTGAATGTTTGCATCCATCAAAGCCACTGTATGTATGAAGACCAGATTGGTTCCTTCGATTGGTAATGACAGCCATTCAATTAAGTATTCGTAAACAAGTAAAGCTGATTGGAATTGTAATGGTTAATTATCTGAACAGATCAACTCTGGGTACTTGCATCCGTTCAAATTTTCTAGGCTTGCTTGAGTAGTTTTATCCATGTCCAACGGATTTTAAGATAGAAATAAGCAAAGATACTCTACACACGATGATAGTGCATAGTTCATTCGGGGGACTACAGGAGCAATAATAGCCTAAAATAGTGATCAAGTCACTTATTCACACACTATTTTACCGATCAAGAACTAACTCAAAGGTTTTTTGACTCACTGATACAGTTTTGGACAGGAGATCTGTCGTCAATGACGAGTCATGCTGTCACGTACTATTGGATTGTTAGGATAGCGAAACATTTATTCTATAAACTACCCCAAAGTATTCCATCCAATAGAAAAGCGATAGTGTATCACACATTATGATGGCCAGTTGATGATTCACTGTTACGATAGTGAACGACCATATTCTACGCTGTCGAGGTGGTTAAGTGCCAGTGATTTCTTAAAATAGCTACCACATTCATTGTAGGAGCACCCAAGTATTCCATCAAATTGAAAGTGATATTGTATCACTGACAGCATCACGATAGACAATGAATCATTACCTGTTATAATATGGAAAGACTGTACTTCTACGTTGTAGAGCGGTTATAACATTTGGAGATAACTCAGTAGTCACCCCGACAACACACGACTTAACCACACATTGAACTTGGCCCTTATTCAATATCCCGTGTCCTGTAGAAGATGCGATCACTGCAGTTTGATCAATGCTGTCTTAGCTGATTTCTTCACCTTTGAATGTCATAATGGTCAATGCAAAATGCCAATCACATTGGATGATTGAATAACACTAGTACAAATTCTCGTCGCTTTGCTGACAGCTTACGATAATGTGCTCATTTGTTAATAATTAACAGATCGTATTACCATTTGTCAGTATGATATTGCCAGTAGTTGTATGCTACCCAAATCTGCATCTATCTATGGATGCTACTCTATTTATCCATGTCATGAAAGGAAGAGATTGTTGTCAGCAACTTATGGCTGCAACTATACGATTTATTTGATCCTGTCATGTTGTGAGCTGTAAAATGAACAACTATAGTACTATATGCGTACAATTAAGAACTATGTAACAATCTCAACATCAAGTATTCTACAGAGTGCTGATCATGATTACCTTCTAATGACTATGCACGGCGTAACTTAAATTTCTCCTAGTTTAGCTATACAGTACTTTAATTCCTAATATTCCTGCTCATTCTTTAGGCATCAAAACTATGTTGGGAAAGCAAAATTTATCTACGTCGATCAGTCGTCTCATAGTAGTAGACGGTTAGTGATCGGTTCTCATTCAGGTGCTGTAGCTACCTTGAATGCTCGTACTGGTGCGATAGGTTAGTCAAACAGTAATGAGAGATACGATCTATCTTATCACGATTGTCGATATTTTTTTACGTCTCCCAAGTAATTTGAAGATAAATTAATAGAATCTCTTATCATTAAATATTCCATTTAGTATGGCGACAAGTCATGGAAAGGCAAGATGGCCAGTTGAATGCTTTATTACACAAGAATAAGGGTAAGAAAATCTTCTTGTTTTGAAATACAAATACAATAATTTAACTTTAATGACTCGATTCAATAGTGCATTTTTATGATGGCTATTATACGAAATAACTCGGATACTAATTCTTTATTACCTTAGTATCGTCACTAATTTGTCGGCATTTGTAATAGCATATTATGATACGATATGATTATTCCTTTCATAGTTCTAGTATCAGTTTCATCTCAAGGACGCTTATTCCGCCGATGGGACTTAAATTCAGGAAATATTTTGTGGGAGTCATCTTTGCCAATGCAATCTTTGTCACATAAAACTCTACAGAGGTAAATTATTCCTGTCACAAATACAGTAACTAGTTTAAATGATGTAGCCATTACTTTTGTCTATTGGTGAATTGTGTACTGTACTAAGGCTGATATCGTAAGTATCGTTAGTATTTCGTTATAGATAGTAATTCAACTCGCGCTAATTTTGAGTATACAGTATATGCAAAAGATACATTCTCTACCTCATCTTGATCGACCTGGACGGATATTGTGTTTAACAAAAATAAAGAAAATAATACTTCTTTTATACCCACTTTCTAAATGTTTAGCTGCATCGGTACGGCTGGTTGGAAAGATGGTTGTATCGATTCTGTAACGAATGATGAGGTGATCGCTACGTTGGTCAAAAATACCCTTCTTCTTCACTCTGCTGGCAGTGGTACAATTATCAAGCGAATCGATTTACCCCACAGGTACCGTATTTATGACTAAATATTCAACTTCTACGTTGTTGAGCAAACGAGATTATCTAGCAGTATGTAATTTTTAGTCACGATCACGAATATTACTCGTACTTTAAGTTTTGATTTGCATTATTTTTTTACTTTGGGCAGTAATAAAATGAAGTATTTTGCCATCTATGCCACTAAAGACAGAATATATATTGTTGGAGCTGAAGACCAACTGCGCTTAGCCATCTTAAGTTATCAACGTAATACAGGTGTTCTTTCAGAACAGGTATAGAAATGACTCTAAATTAACAATTGTGATACTAACGACTTAATATACAATTTACTAACTGTAATATTTATCAAGAATTCAATGTAACTTACTGCAATATCTAACTTGAAAAAATTGCAAATTTTATTCATCCTATATATACAGCGATATGTACAGTGTCCCTGGATCTCATCTATAGAAACTAGGTATACAAGTTTCGTATACGATTTATAAATGGCTTATTGCAATTTATTACTAGAATATACCTACATAATCATGTGATAATCGTTGAATTATTTCTTAAGAATATTTTGATGTTTGATACTACTTTTGAAAATTTTATTCTTAGCTGTCTGGTGATTGATGGAACGTTGATTTGTACTGATATATCATCTGAAAGCCTTCAAACAATTAATTTGCCCTCGAAGGCCGAGAGCTTCCAAACTCATTCTTTATTGGTAATGGATAAATTCCGAAGTATTTTACCGAATCTTAGTTATACACTCTAATCTAAGGTTTACTAAATACAAAATACTCTAAGCATATAACTTACGGTACTCTTACAAACTCAGAGCCTAGGTGTAACTGAAAGAATCACGAAGAGGTCGTACCTCAAGCCCTTGTTTGATCGTGGATCGCAACGTCAAGAATATATTGTTGCCTTGTCATCGAAGCATCAGCTTGTTGCCAGAAATGGACCAAACGGCCAATTTGCCGTCAAGGAATTAAAGTCGGAGGTACCTGATAATTCTGAATAACAATCTTGTGATTTTAACCATTTAACCGTACAATACGCGTATTATGAAATGTATATTTATCAAAAATGTAACTATTTTCTTATATTTGCTTTTCGATAATCAGAATCCGCTATTACTCTCAAGTGCAACGCTCAGTAATAAATATTACGTATTTTCTACTGAAAGTTTTGAACACGTACGTTATAACTAAGCTGTTTAATGTACAGTATGTTATAAGCGATTAGACGATTCTTATGACCTTATTTAATTTTATTTGAATTATTTAGAAACAAAAAATTACCTGGTTGGATCTCGACGAAGCTAGCGATCTAACGGAATTACAGACAGAGTTTGACACGGATGAAGATCGCGGATTACCAGAAAATGTAAATATTTTTTAACTATAGTATCATGCTAGAAGTTAATAGCCAGGGTAATGGATTGTATTATGAAACTGATAAAGCACCCTTAAATCTAACGTTAAAAATCTTACATAAATTAGGCAATAGCCATGATGTTCTTAAAGAAAGACAAAACCCTGAGCTACAGGGTATTGTTTACGTACGAAGACCATTCGTTGGCGTTATTGCAGCAAAGCGGTAAATCTTTTTGGTCACGAGATGAAGCTTTAGCGGAAATCTTAGTTGCTGAAATGGTCGAATTAGCTTTACCTGTCTCTGAACGTCTTCAATCGCTATATGACGAAGTCACGATAGCCAAAGGTCTAAAAAGAACCTTTAAATACAATTTAGACACCTATTTTCTAAAATACGCGTACACACTCGTGTACTATTATTCATTGCAGATGGGGTCCTATCCCTTTTTTTCCGCCGTATCTCTTCTCAATTAAGCCAATTACAAGTATTTGGAATATCCATAATATCCAATAGCCTCTGATTAACTTTAATAGTTACTAAAATTTGAATTATGTATTTTACCATTTAGGTTTTGATCGCATCATTTAAAGATTTTCCTTACAATATTTGGAGCAGTGGAAATAACAAAAAGGACCAAAAATTAGTCAGAGATCAATTCAATTTACGCAAAATGATTGTAGCTGTTACCCTTTCAGGAAAGGTAAATTTAATTAGATCAGTAACATGATAGAGTTTTTAGAATTGTAAAATAGCCAAATAAGATCCATTCTTTTATTCTAATGGCTTACGATCACACTTTGGTAGTTATTCGGAATTGATACTGCCAGTGGCGATATAGTCTGGAAACATTACCTCCATAATCTAGCGCCATTTAATGAATACGGAAATCCACGAATCCTTCTTTTCGAACAAAGAACAACAGCTCATTACCCTTTGCCCCCAAGATGTATTGTTCTTGGCAATGCTAAGGTAATGGCTACATTTTATTGTATGAAGTCGAGTTATGGTGATATAATGTTATATAAGTTTATATACCAGCTGTTTTTATTAATTTTCAGAACGATGATGGAAAATCTTTAATATATGTATTTAACCCATTAACGGGAAAAGCATTTAAAGACAGTGAAACCGATGGTGTATTAGTCGATCATAAAATCAAGCAAGCAATGATTTTAACCCTCACAGATAATCATTTTTCAAAAATTTTGCTAATGGTCGACCCTAATAATCAGGTATTTTCAAGAAATGTGTGTTATTTATTAACTACCAAGTATAGTATTTTGATTTCAGTTACCTTATTTTATTTAGATTTACATCAACCCATCGACACCGGAAGCTGAAGGAGTTGTTATAGATAACTTAGAATCATTGTACCTTCATACAGTCAATAAAGATGATGGTCAATTGAATGGATACGCGCTATCGACGGATGCCAGAGATGTAAACTTAATTATATCTTTTGATATTACATCATCTCTCGTTATATATCGTAACTGATCAGTTGACCACAATTTATTCCACCAATTGGTTAATAAAAATTCAGAGAATTATTGCTAAAAATATATGGACCACGCGAATCCCCATTGATAATCAGGCCATAAGTTTAATTTTTGCCAAATTGCCAAACGGTAAGTCTCTAACAATATTTTCGAATATAAAATTCTATTTACAGTTCATTCGTTTTGATTAGATGATTTTATTCGGAATTTTTCCTTAGAACCGGTTCATTCTCAAGGTCGAGTTTTAGGCAATCGTAGTGTTCTATACAAGTACGCCAATCCCAACTTAATTGCTATTACTACTGAATCTAAGGACAAGGACAAACGTAAGTCTTACATTATGGTAATCAACTTATATCTGCAGATATACTATACAATCTTTTGATAAGTTTCAGCAACAAATAACAGTCAGGATAAATATATTTTATTTTTTATCTTCTAAAAACGAAATTAGCGATTGTCGAAATATTCTTAGTCGATGGAGTTACAGGCGCTATCGTGTTTCAAACATACCAAAAGAATGCCAGAGGTCCTGTCAAACTAGTACTGTGTGAACATTGGATTGTGGTGAGAAATATATTGAATACTTTAAACCGTTTTCTACCAAAAAAATATTGATATTTCGTATTTGTTCCTCAGTTTCATTACTGGAACACCAAGTACAGGAGATATGAAATGGCTGTCATAGAATTATTCGAAGGGCAAAAGAAATTAAATGAGTTAGATTTACTATCTTATTTTCCATTATCGTATTATTCAATAACGCTTATATTTTTTCTTTGCTTCATTAAATATCATTACCTAAATTTCTTATACTTCGTTTGCTATAGGACAATCTTCTCATCGTTCATTACACAGCTGAATACCGTCAGCATGCAATCTTATGTATTTCCTTTTGATGTAATAACTATGACAGTAACGCGTACCGAAAAAGCGATTACGCATAAAGATATTCTAAGTGCGATTTAATCATTTGACTTTTGTTAGATCTTAAAAATACAATTTATTGATTAAAGATTTGATTATTTCTAACAGTCGGACTACCTGGTGGTGAGATACTTTCTTTACCGAAAGTTTTATTAGATCCTAGAAGACCGTTTGTTTTAAGTGCTAGCGATAGGTATAATTTTGTTCGAACACTAATTTTACAACGACACGTTTTTATAGCGTGAAAAAATGAACTATTTCTGACTTACAAACGATATTTTCTAACGTAGAGAGGAAGGCCTTATACAATATGTTCCAGAATTACCTTTCCCTACTGCTAACGTAATCAATTATAATCAAACGGTAAAGACAGTTACTGTAGTAATAACTTCACTGTCCTGGAGTTTTTTTTCAATATTTATCAATAATGTTTAATTTTAACCCATAGATTAACGGATTACGAAAGATTGTTACCGCACCTGCTGGCTTGGAGTCTACTTCTCTTGTTTTCGCATATGGTTTAGGTAGAGGAATATTATAACGTCAGATTCATAGATTATTTATACTGCATGGTCTCAGCAGTTAATATGGAATCAATTATGTTATTGTTCATTCTTAGATTTGTTTTATACCCGCGTAACTCCTTCCAAGATGTTCGATGTCCTTAAAGAAGATTTCGATTACACATTTATTACTATAGTGCTCACGGCCATGATCTTAGTATCCTTGGTAACTGCTCAATTATCATCATCGTCTAACTTAAAAAAATTATGGAAGTAAACCTTGTGATCATTTTCTAATTCATACCTCCAGTCTGTCATATTGATAATAAAATAAAGACGAAATGGTACTGTATAAAAGCAGATAGGTCTGCATTTTATGTTCGTATATTAACAACTACATGATATAGGAGAAACCGGAATCGATTAGATTTCGAAAAAGAATACCTGTAAAGATGGATTTGATGTATTTCTGTTGTCAGTGCGAGTTATCTGTTCTTGTCGGAACTGATTTAATGCTGAATTACGTTTTTTTTATCATTTATGACTGATGAGATGCGCCATTGTTTTTACTTAGTACGGTACAAAATTTTGTTTTATTACCTAGGTTTACGGTTATTTATTTCTTTTTGCCCTAAAGACCGACTTATAAGATTTTAATAAATATTAATAATTGATGTTGTGCCCAGATAAAAGGTACACTCATCTAAGCAAGATTGCTTCACTATTTCTTGTGGGTTCTTCTAAAATTAACAGTACCTTTCGTACTATAAGTAATGTAAAAATATTACTCATAAAATAGTTATCCTATATTGATATACCATATTAAATATTGTACTGTCTTGTTAACGCTAACCTCTGCTAGTTCTATTAGCTTATAATTACGATTATCATTAACTGCACTAAGAACTAAATGTTTTTCATTGTGTCAGGCTCTTAACTCATCAAAAGAAGTTGTATAATCTAGTGCATTACTATTCTATATAGCAAATGAGTAGACCGTATGTATCAACATTTTCTGATGACAGGAGAGATCTAATGTAGACAAATTAAAGACGTTAATTGCTTAAGTTGAGAGAAATGTACTTTCCCCTTAGTTAATGTTAAATTAATAAATGTGACTAAAGCTTATGTTTAAAATCTATAGCTTTCGAAATCTTAGCTGTCGATAATTCAATAATCAGACTCTTCGCTCCAGAGTTTTATAAATTATGCTTTGTTTCGCTTCTTTCCCAAAAAAGTAGGACGTACACGTAACTCTGTTAGAAACTTAATCCAAGGTCAACGTCTATCCAATCGCAGTGATATCTAATTTTATATTACTGATATGCACGTATTCACCTCATTATTTTTTATCATATTTATTATTATGTTACTTGAAATGATTGAACCTCATTTAATTAATGAAGAGGGAAAAAATTTAAATTCAAATTTAAAAAAGGTAAAGAAATAATGAGTTTAAGATTATGATCTAAGTAATCTAAATCATCGAAAAATTGAATAGAAATGTCTCATACAAGATATAGTATTTCAGTTTTTAAAGGCAATATGTAGAAAAGCATTTAAAAGTATCTTAATAATAGTTATAGGAATCAATTCCGATGCAAACTGCCGCAATCAATAATCAGTTCGGTCATATCAAAGGAGATTCTACGATGGAAATAATAAGGCTGATAATATACGCATATTGGAAGAGAGCGAAAATCGTTTCAATCTTATTTACAAAGTTATCTCATAACAATTTCGTACATTTCTTAATACTTATATCATAATACAATTAAAATTCATAATAAGAAAAACGAATATATTCGTATAAAATAATTCAATATTAAAATTGAATTAGATCATAATCAGTTCATAGCTAGCTATAACTTTATGGTTACTCATTTTATTAAAACTACGTAAAAAGTAAAGAGGCATCGACTAAATCCATCGATTCTGAGATAGCGATAACAAGCTTCGAAAATAGTCGAGAAACCACTGATCGGTGACGTAACTTATTGCATAGTAAATATATTGTGCATTCGATTCTTTATTAGCTACTCTTTCAACGTAAGTTATCATTAATCTTGTTACTTCTGCTTGGAGCTAGTATAATTTCAATTGATAACGTAATTGCTAATACGGATATCAATTATTTCCATGAGACAAGAATGCGGTACCTCTTTAATGTATTAATGATCTATTCCCATTTCCGTCATTTATATACTCGTCAATGGAGGCCGCTTATGCTTGATTACAATACAGAAATAGTTACAGTATTTCCTATCCGGGAACCGATCGATCTCTTACTTGATAGTGATGCTAATGTTATTTTTTATCACCACTAGAGTATAAAATAATCGATAAATAAAATCAGATAAGTGATGGAATGCAATCTCAAATTTATTTGTAAATCACAATTGTAGACAATTGGAATAGGTGATAAAAGAAAATATTAATCTACCTACCAAGCTATAAGCTATAATCGATACGTCTTCGTTTAGCTGGAGGTTGCGAAACTTCTATCCATCATTATCATTAGTGAAAATAGAAAATAGAATGATAATAACCAATCAATCAATCAACCCAATCCAAGTAATTATTAAAGCAATTTTGAATTATTCTATCGAACTAGAATGTGACTAACAAGCCTTAGATCAAACATATAGCTGTTTACTTTACTTTATTCTTATCATAAAGTAAACAGTTATAGCCAATCAGATCAAATGGATTAAATAATATCAAGCCAGCGGTGATAATTAAATCAGTATGATTAGAGACGATGCATAAAGTTTTCTATTGAGTTTTGAACTATAGCAATTCATATTAGGCCTTAAGGTAATCATATTGTATGTTGAATTCTTTGTCCATTTTATTTATTGGGAGTAGTGTAACAAATTGATTTGAATCAATTTACGACATACAAGTTGAGAAGATAAACAATAAGCAAGTTGAATGCTTGAGTTCATATTTAATAATCTAAATTGGCTATTCCTACTTGTTGAATTATTTGGTATACAACCGTATCTAATAAGAAAGAGCCAAAATTCCTCTATATGTTATACCTATCCATTAAAGTAGTTCAATATCCATATCACTATAATCTATACTTGCGCTATCAATGACAGTATACGGATACTTATATGAAACAATTACCAAAATATATAAATAATGATTATCTATTTGAATCTTTTGGTCAATATTATAAATTGTGTTATAATTATTGTTCTACAGGCGCTATTGAAAACCTACAATCTACTTACCGATTTGAATTAAATCCATTTTTTGCCTTGCTTTATCGGCCAAGTGGGCAGTATAAATATCACAAAACAATCCATCTTTTTCAATTGCACTAGTATAAAATGTCCGTGCTTGGGTTAAATCGACATTAACACCTAGACCATATTCGTACATTAAACCTTTATAGTAAGGTGATAGAGAAGAGCATTTCATTGCTAATTTGAAATAATATGTCGATGATATATCTTCAGTTAAAGACAATGTTTGCGGCGATTTCAAAATTAATTTAGCTAATCTATAACAGCCGTAACCGTAAAATTGATTAATTAATCGAGCACGTCTATAACAACCGATAGCAACTTGAATGTCATCACACGATGATAATCGCCTCTTTTGAATCAATTTGCCAATTTGCCATGCAGCATAATGCGAATAAGCATCGTTATTTTTTTGTAATGCTAGATAGTAATAATAGCTAGCTTGATTGTAATGGTGATGGATACCGAGCCCATAATGATACATTAGACCTAGTGAATAATACATACAACTGGTTGGGAATGGAAATGTTTCAATATCACTATTAACCAGGGCAAATTTGAGATAATCTAATGCAAGTGGATAATTTCGTAGGATGATATCAGTTACACCACGAAAATAAAGAATAGCTAAATAATACATAACGATACTAAATCCAAACGACGATGATGCCGTTAGGTAATCGACAATCAACTCCGTTGAATAGTTATGCCTATAGTCTTTAATGATTAATAGCTTGGACATAATATGTCCATGTTGGGCTGCTTTATATAAATATTTTTCAGCTTTTTCTTTATAATCATGGCCATCGTAGCCAATTTTAAGACGATATAACCAATAGCCAAGATAATAATAAGAAGCAGCACAACCGAATTTTCCACCTTGACTAAAGTAACGGTAGGCTTGAAGGTAATATTGACGACTTTCAGTTAAGCCACTAACTGTCCCTTTCTTATAAGCGATAAATCCCAGATAATGGTTCCAACGACCGAGTTTAGCTTGATCTTCCTCACTTCGAATTTGCTCTTCTAGCCAGTTTTTGTACCGATTGATCCCGTCTTGCCATAATTTCGATGAAGCTAAATAATAACTGTACTTTTGTTCAGCTTTACAGTAAGCTCCACAAGCAGCAGCTTTAATTAATAATCGGACTTTGATATCAATCAGGTGATGAGATTGGCTAATAAATCGTATTTTATCAGCGTCTCGTCTTTCTTCGTGGCTACCGATCATTTGACAAAGATAATAAGGTGCTACCGGATGGCCGTGATCGCTAGCAATTTGGTAGTGTTCGTAAGCTTTTTCTAAATTTTGATGAATTCCATCTTTACCTAAATGATAGATACGCCCTAACTCATAATGTGAATGAGGGCTGTTACCCTCTTCGGTTAACTTGATATGCTTCTTCATCACTTCTTTAACTAAATTTCGATAACTTTTATCGGCATGATTAGCCAGCATTTCTGCCAGTAATTGATCTACGTTACTTTTTTTATTCTTAGACATGATAACGATATCGATGAACCTTCTTCTTCTAATAGGTAAACAAGAAGGGATTACTAATGGTTAAACGGTAATCATGATCGACCAAGTTGTCAGAAACTAAATGCTGTATATTATCGAATATTGTAATATTTACCTTGGATGATAGATCAATTCTAACAGTAGATCCAACCATATTTACAACAAAAATAATAAACTTGCCGAAGCGGAGATGATGATCAAATACTACTGCAAACTCGCAAGTGGACTTGTTTTGATTATTTTTTTTTTTTTTCGAATCTTGCCTATCTTAATACAATAACCATAATTAGCTTAAGTCACTAGTATACAATAGCATTTCAAATTACTATTTAAACCTTTATAAAGGTTCTATGTTGTGAACAATATTTCACAATCTTATTCATCAAAATATCAACAATACTGTCAGTGTAAACAACATGGTAAGTGGCTCATCCCACTTGGATGAAAAACACCCCTTCCATTTTATTGGATTTTTTTTAATTATTTTTCTTGTTTTTTTCTTATGCAAAATTTAATTTGGTGAGATCAATATAATTTCAGGGTTCCCGTTGACTATCCGAGAATTGCCTTGCTATGCTCTGTACGGATATGTACCAAATTGTCGCCTAAATGCGATAATTGTTTAACTTAGAGCTATTTTTGAAGCTATCGAGAATTCCACCAATAGTATATACAGTATATATATAATCTGCTTAGAACTACTAAGATTCATTAACCAGCTTATAACACCAGTGTACCTATAACTGACATATAACTAGTTGACTACAAACAAATGCAGTACTTGATATTACAAAGTATTCTTTTATACGTTTACTATCCTATCATACTTGTAAAAAGATTGCAATTTTACGCGATGTCCTATTTCTAAAGCTGGCTAGCTATAGGAAGATAGTAATTCGCAGTAACTAAGATATAGAAGTATAGCTTCCTATTACGATGACTATTCCATACGTTTACAACAATGCCTGATGATGACAAGGACTAATTTAATCGGTGTTCTTCAAGTAAAATTTATCTAGTGCTCCTACGATATGTTTACAATCACATAGCAGCCCAACCCTTTATTAAGCTGTGATCCATACTGTACAAGGTGTTACTTGACTGTAAATATGGTTAGCGCTGTCGTAAGGATTAAGACGCTACTTGGTAGCAAATAGGTCCAAACAGTACACAACCATCGTATAGCTGTCTCAACGTAATGATATTAACACCCAGAAATTGCATTCAAAGTGCTTCCAAAGGATCAACTAGTCGACTGTAAATATGTCTACACTGCTGACACCCATCATATAGCATTGGGAACGTTATCATATTTACATGTAGAAATTACTCTCAAGGTATTCCCTTCGTGTAGCAGATTTTGCTGGAACTATGTCTAGACAACACAGAATCATAATTTATTATATTCAAAAAGACAAAATTAATTTTATATCGAACAGTTAATGTCAAGGGACTAAATAAGCATCAATAACTCGATTGAAACTGTATTCGTATAGCAGATAACTGTCGTCTAGTATTTTCAACATGATGAAATGGCAGGTACAACTGCTGTCCAGATTGCATCCGAACATTAATGTCTCAATTAAAATATGTCCGGAGACAAATAAACAGCAATCCCATAATGTATTTAGCACGATGATAATTATATCTGAAATCTGCTGTCAACGTGTCTCAGTATCCGTGACTTGGAGTAAAAGATATCCTCACTGTAGACAGTCATTGTTTCGCATTCCTAATGTACCTAATGATATGCACAGCTAGTAGCTGCTATCAAAGTGCCACTTAAGCATAAGTTACTAGAGTAAATTGGCCTAACAGTAGAATTTATATAGTATTCAAACATTGGTAAACAAAGCCAATAATAGCATCTTATTTTATATTTCTCCCTTACTAATAAACAAAAAACCCAGAACGATCAAAAAATAGTTTAAAAAAAATGAATATTAACTTATATCTTTCGGTATGAAAAGCTGCTTATCGATGATCTATTAAAGCAGCATATTATCAACAGAATGTAGATGAGTCCTTGCAGCCGCACTACTTCTTGAATTACTTCCTTATCTTATTTTAACTTTTCAAAGGCTAGGTGATTGTGGCATTTAATGATCCTTTTTAATCGTATTCATTTAAAAAGCTACAATGTAGCATAACCGCTAATTAATATTAATAATAGGGTAATCAACAATAAGAATACACAGAAGCTATGGCACAGGACGTAGCAATCTATGGAAATTTTACCCATTTTATTAAGGAGTGAATGGTGGTAATTTAAAATTAGGAAGGTCGATGGGTTCCTTTGATTTGGTAGAAAACTGCAAGTACGCGTATATTCTAGTTTACCAGAGATGAATTCTGTTGTATCCAAGCTTTACACGTATGATAATTTTAAGTTCACTTACAATTGATACTCTTACGCTACAGCTGCTATTAAATCACTTATAATTATATAAAAATTGTACGCCATTCATTGTAAACCCTCTCTATACCAAAGCTAGCTTTGAATTTTATCTAACCGTTGATATCTTATTTATTCTCGAAGCTAAATTGCCATACGTGCATTTGCTAATGGTTACCAGGGGATTCCTAAGGAACATTTTATTAGTTCTTGTAATTACCTCCGCATTCTTTCTGGTAAAGGTGTTTAACTGTAAATAAATTCTTGGTCACCGCAAACGTAATTGATGAATGTTTTGAAGCAACGAGAACGATCACAATTGTAAGCAGATTGTAGATTTTTTGCAGCCATTCAACTAAAAGATCTGGCTTCTATTAGCGTTAAGCAATGTTGGACTGTTCTCAAATTAGTTTCAATAGCTGATAAAAAAGTTCGAATTCACTAATATCAGTTGCGCGATAAGAAAAAGCTAAATATTGTAGGTGAAGGTCTTTCCATTCCAAGTAAGCCTGCTCGTACGTACTGTACCAGTGCCGAAGTAACTTAAATTATCATGCATAAATGGATGTCGTACGGATTAATTTGACTATGGTACGGTAAATCTTGCGCACAATAATCAAGTAGATATCATAAATGTGTATTATTCGTTGGAAGTGCTATTAGGTAGAGTAAGGAACTTGTTTCATTCTTAAGTAGTCCCTGGTAGTGTTTGTACAATTATACAGACATACAGTAGTCGTTACGAGCACACACAACGGTCTGCTGAGCGAAGAATTTCATTGTAAGTACGAGGAATAATCATATCGAAATTAGTACACTCTAATTTAGAACATGATGCTCCTTTATTGGTTATGTTGATTATCTTGCACCGAATAAAACCGTAAGTATCATCGCATTTACGGTTGTTAGGTATAGGTTAACTAACAACCATGTGCATGAAAGCAGCATCAGGGTATACATATATATATATATAAAAAAACTCTATGAAATCACGTATAGTATTCATTTTTATATGACGCCATACTGCATGTCTGTAAGTAGCCGCACAAGGTCACCATTTAATCTCTCTTATCTTTATCGTTAGGTCGGTAGTGTAAAAAGACAAATGAGAATATAAAGACACCAAACATCATTGAAAAGGCGCTGGCATAATACGGATAAGCGGATAGGATGAATCGTTCATACTGCGTGTGCTCCAATGGACGGACAGATACCTACGTATATTTACGAAATGTTAATGCTCACAAATGTTTCTCAGGAAATAGTCATTTAATTGCTACGTACCTGAGTGGCACTAAACATATGAGTATATCCAAGTCTCAAGTAATCAATTTTAAATTGGTAAACGCCATAAACGTCTGGAACTTTAAAGTGAGCTTTGAATGTTATCGCTATGAAAATGAACAACAATCATCACTTAGCCCATATAAGTGTACACTTTGCAAATCACTAGCGGTAAACATACTATATTCTATTTCAGTATTATACGTGAAAGGTGTACAGTAATTTTCAACGACTACACCAGTATAACATCATTGCTGCGGTATTACGCATCATATCAGCTTACGATTTGAAGAACGGTTCATCGTCACCCGAACAAATGGATCAATACGAACAAATTCAAGTTGGATATCCGAGCGGATAGGGGGCACCCATTTACCGTTAACGAGTTCTTCGATATCGACAGTAAATTCCTATTTATCGAGAAAGTAAAGAAATACTTTATTTCAATTATCAACGAATTTAATACACTGTATATTTATGACTAAACATAAAATTTATGGCTAAATAATAGTGTTGCTAACCAATTCATCTCCGACAGTATAAAACTGTGCTTCCTTCGTTTCCCCTACTTTGTGATGACGTATATTTCCGTAACGTAGAACACCGTTCTTTTTAAAGGTCCAGCCGGCTAAAGAAATAGCTAAACGTTCATTGCCGCTATTCTCATACCTATGATGAAGGTAGTTTGTTAGGATCATCATTGCTATAGATTTAATTTGTTTAGTTAACAGTGCGAATCAATCCGCATCACTCCAAAAAGAGACTTCAAGTTTATAAATAATACCAATACTTACGTTCTTTCTTTTGGATAGGCTACCTGAACATTTGAATGCAAGAATCTATGAAAGTATAATGTTGTATTAGTTAGAAAATTTTGAATTAGAATGATACATAAATATGTATTTGTCGTCGTACTCATCGCTAAAGAAATCCAGTGAACCGCAGAAAACAACACGTGCGTTATTTCTGGCTTGCATAGATGCGATAAGGACAGTATTTTTTCCAATGGCTTGCGGGGCCTTGGGATGACAACATGCATGTTAGTTATGTTACATGAGGGTACTTTTTATTAATAAAATATCAGATTACGCGTGCATACACCTTAGGTGTTACTTACATTCTTAACTCTTTCATCAGGAAAATAAGAAAAGCTAGATGGACTTCCAGTCAAAATTTCCATTACAAGTGGATTGTCTGCATCAACAGTCAATCTATTGCCATTATAGATAAGAAATTATTTATCCATACATTCGAATAATTTCATTAGCGATAAAACTATATCCCAATTATAGTTCTATTAGGTGTTGTACCAACTTACCCTATACCTCTGTAAAGTAAAGGATCATTAACGCCGACACCAACAACTACAGGTGCGTCGATTAAACTAGCTTTAGATTTCGCAACAACCATAGTATGATAGCCTTCATCTCTCTTGTCATAATTAATATGATCAATAACAGCTGTTTTCTCTTCGTCCATTTCTAAGCCACATTCTGCTGCCAAGTCACGAATAGGCTCACCTTGGAATACAATCGCGATAATTTAACGTTAAGTTAATGACGCAAACTAGGATATCTATTCTATTAATAAATCACTATATATAGTCTACCGCAAAGTACAGTGCAATCGGTTACTGATTTACCACTGAAGTATCTATCAGTCTGAATAATACCACTCAAACTAGCTTAAAATCATTATACAAACGGAGGACTTTAGCTCTTAAAATAGGGGAAGGAAATTGATCTAACCTATATCCGAGCTACCAGCTACCAGGACATTTCTTCCACTGTCAATGAATTCGGTAATGGCAGCAACGTTGATATTACCGCCGAATTCTTTTAGAACCAATGCGATGAAAAAAATAAGAATTTATCGCCAATAATCAATTAGCGTTTGCTATATTACTTGACATTTACTTGTAGACTGTCACCCTAAGGTATTAGCGTAAAAGGTTGTAATGGTATAGTGTGATCACTTTTCTTACCTTCAACACTAGGAGAGAGGATTACGAGATGTTCGTATAAGAATTCACCGTATTTAGAGAGTGCTAAACTAGGATCATCAGCTGTTTTGAAATCTAATGACAATCCAATTCCTGAAAGAAAAATATTTCAGTTATCTAAGGCAATGCTAGAGTCTGTATATGTATCAGTTATTGCAGCAATAAAATCCAGTTGCGTTATTACCTAGCCGATCATTAATTATAATATGCAATTAATAACAGGCCATTAATATTCTGTTAAGATACATACGAGATCAAGCTAGTTTTTGTTCGTAAATTCTGGTTAGCTAACTGTTCCGATTGCCGATTTGAACTGGGTATATAGTACTGTACAACCAGCTGTAGTATTGCGTAGGGTACAAGTTCATACACTGCACCACGAAAGTACCATAACTATACTGTAATAATGTTAGTACAGGAGAGCTCATTGCGATCTACTTTAGGAAAAGTGGAGCAACACTGGTTAATTCTTTGCGTGAACTTGTACCATAAATTTGTATAAGAATTTGGCCCCATTGCAGTATTGTGCACAGTACAAGCTTATCCATCGCGGCAAGAGCAAACTGTAACTATGCGTATCGCGATATTATCTATATACATAATAGTACATGGAGATTCGAAAATGAAGCAAACTGATTTTGATTCTATATAATTATCCAACATTGGCTTATTGTTGTGCTGTACTTGGTATACAGTACAGTCTAACCGAAGTCCGATGTATTAGGTTAAGACCATACTGTAACTATACATTACTTCGATATCTACTTGACGACATCATGATCTCTAGGCACAATCTAATCACTTCCGTATCCTATCCAATGCTAAGGTAACATTTAAAGCTGCATTTGAGCTACAACGGACGACATTACCGAGATCAGATGTACTACTATACACTATCATGATATATCAATTCAATAGTACGCTAGAGAAGCGATGGCAAGTGCTGGTGGAATTCTGCATCATTATCGTCATTGGTGATTTAATCCATGAAGAAATGTGACTGATGATAAGGTATTTAATTGGAGTCAAGATAGCTAGACAATAAATCCCTTATCGATCCCATATTCAACTGATCCAATTATCCAAAGTAGCAATTTCAATTAAGATCGTTCAAACTTCAAGATGCTGAGAAGTACTTTGAATAGCAAGTTCCATTGTAGGCGAAAGTCCTACAATGCCCTTGTCATCAAGTGAGTTTTTTCTAGTCAATTTTAAGCTAATTTGATGGAGTAAAAGTCAATCCATTTCTATCCATTTCACTTTGATTAAGATTTTGCCAGTTTTTTTCACTGGCCAACAAGTTTATCATCACAGTACAAGAGCATCAATAAGAAAAAAATACATTGAGACGTAGAGTCAATTCATGCAGGATGCCATTTTACCTTGCAATATCTTCAAGAACGATGAGTGCGTTTCTTTGGTATTGAAGTTATCCAAGAGAACCAACGTTCTGTCTTGATTGTTACTTTGAGTATCACATACTACTAAGCTTCCCAACACCGAGAAAATAATAATAATATCGGTTAATCGCAGCCCCATGGTTTTAACGAACTGAAGCTTCGCAAATCAGAGCAACAGTGAATTTTTTTTCCTCAGATCTCTTGATGGATCGCAAAGTCAGGAAGAATGTGCGTGATGATACAACGTCTAGCGTGAAAGGACGTCGTCACTCGCCTTGGTTGTACTGTTCTGTATGCTTTGGCTGTTTGCTCATGGCGTGTACTGTACACTGTACAATACTGTACAGCATGTTCAATTGCGCATGCATCGGTGCATGGCTACAGTACTGTACTGTACTGTGCTTTGGACGTCCTTTGTTGGTTCGTCTGGCTGTACAGTACTGTCCACTGTAAACTGTACACTGTACACTGTGGTCATGATAGGACTAGCGACGAGTGTTACAACAGTGGTCACCACTGATCACTCAGTGATCACTAACCAGGCATTGCTACTATACTGTGCATGTTGCCATTGTAGCTGCTTCAGCAGGAAACGGTAGACGACCGACAAATGATATGCTCAATTTAGCAAAAAGAAAAGCATTGACGGATAAAATCGAATAGACAAGTCATCCAATTGGCTGTAACCCTAGGCGCAATAGCATAACAGTAGTCTTGAGTCAGAAGTCATATCATGACCACTGACATAGAGATTACTCATGGAGGAAACAGACGTGCATTACTACCCAGGATATGAAAGAAGCATAAAAGTTAAGATAGCGAGCGATTCCATTTTTTTGATGTTGAATTTTTCGCTTTACAATTTGATAGTCATAGTGCTGTGGCTGTCGTTGCCATTTGTACAGCCGTTGGTTGTCCACGTGTAATAAGCTTTTACTCTATAGTATTTAGTATGTCATTGATTGATTTACAGCAGTCTGTACGTCTGTATAGTTTTTGTCTATGCCACTTGCTCCATGGAGTCTTCATAACTCTACAGTATTTGCGTACCGTACCTTACCGTACAGTACTGTACACTGTGCACTGTACACTACCGTACAGTAATGAATAGTACCAGAGACTATTGGGTTAGGTACAGCGGTGTACCTGTACTGTAAGAACTTCCAAAGGCTTTCGGATCATCAATCCCCTACGTACTGTACTGCACCAAGAGTGCATCTGTGGCGTGCTGTCGATTACGGTCATCGCATTGCAAAATGGTTCGAGGTGGAAGTGTCGATAGGAGCATTCGAAGAGCAAAGATATTTGCTCTTACTAAGGTAAACCTGATTTCATTATCATTCTAGAGTAGATTCATCGTTAGTCTTATCTAAAGATAAATAAAATGATCTGTTAAGGGTTTCCGAGGTCGATCCAAAAATTGTTATTCTTTAGCAATTCGTGCTGCTCATAAAGCACTTCAACATGCCTATCGTGGAAGAAAGCTGAAGAAAAGAGATTTTCGATCGGTAAAACAATTAAAATAAAATCTATCATTTCATGTGTGATTATCGTCGACAGCGATATTTGGTATGTTAAGAATAAACTCATTCATGGAACATCAATGATTTATAGTTATGGATTACCAGGATTAGCAATGCAGCACAAGAACAGAAAATGCCTTATTCCATGTTTATGCATAACATGGTTCGAGTAAGTGGATGCTGTACTGTATTAAGACCATCATTGATGCGTTCGTCAAAGCAATTAATGCGAACAAGTTCTTCCTCCGCGCATGTATAGTGTACAGTATAGCCACAGACTACTATAAAACAGCTTTTATCGAGCGGTCCGTAGTAGAACCTAAACAATCATATACTGTACAGTACTGTACTCTACGTATTTCATTTCTGGTTGACGAGTATAACTGCGTAGTAGTCTAAACTCTCCTACGTACTGTAGATTTGCAATCTTTTTACAGTACAGTATATTACGTCAATTGAAACTGTTAAGCTCAATAGAACAGGTGTTAACCAATATTTCTATCGTCATCTAGGATAAATGGATTACTGTATACTGTACAATGATTGTACTCAGATTAGATCAATCGTCTTCATCTCCCTAAATCAACGGAATGACTTCACTAAAACGATTTTTCTTGTTTTAACTTTCTCTAGCTCGAAGTACAATTAAATAGGAAAATTCTTTCAGAGCTTGCTATATATGAGCCTCGATCTTTTCAGGTATGGCTAAATTGAATCTATTGGAAATTAGAACTATACATCTATGAGGTTGACATTGCAGTCTTAAAATTGTTTATTTCAGGCATTAGCTGATTTAGCAAGGCGAAGACAAAGTAAGGGCCTTCTCAATGCTCTCAAGTAATTGCGCCATTCTTTATTCGAACAATTATTCGGCATTTTGTTCCGATCAATAATTTATTACTGTAGTCGCTAAAAGGACACCTATTATACCTCTGTTAGCATAAAATGAATGCCGAAACTGAAATATAAATACACATTTAATAAGAATCTTCATATTAACATGATTGCTTTTTTTACCAGTTATGCAAACAATAATTACAGGATATCTTGTTCTTAGTATGTACAATGTGTCATGTATTGTCATATTGCTACTATGTTATATACACAGTTTGATGTCCCTTAAATCTTGATTCCAATAATTAATTAATATAGCCATAGTTACAAATTGATAATAAAGTAATGAAAACTTATGATACATTATATCCATTGAGTAAGTGTGAATATTACCGTTGGTATTAAGATAATCATGTTCCTATTTCAAGACTCATGCACTGCAATTCGTATATTACGAATCCGCCCACTGAATTTGTTCCTTTCTTACGGCTTGAAGTACAGTGCTTAAAAAAAATTTAGTACGCCGATACATCGTCCATTACCATAGCTTTAAGGATCAATTCTAAGTAGTTTTGTCAATGGCGATTTGATCAGAGTAAAACTATCCGAGTTGTACTGTTTATATGTAGTATATTCTGCAGTAGGATAAAACGAAATACGTAATAATTCCATCGGAATAATTTAGTAAATTTTAAATGTTTAAGGGAATTTTCCAGAGCATACCATATGGATCTTAAATGTGACCAAAGTTGGAGTACTTTGTATGCGTATATATATATAATATTTTATCAGTTATTCAGTTGTACAGTTTTGTACAAATTTACAAAGACTATCAGCAAATGGACTCATAGTTGAATATCTTTGATAACGCATGGATTGCATAAACTGTTTCACTCGATATTTTAAAAGTATATTCAAATACTATGCATTCTCCATTCATTTGTTGATAATAGCACCATAAGGATGTACACTGTAGGTCATTTTAGGAAGATCTTTAAAAGTTCTACGTAGAAGCGTATACACCTAGAAGAAAGAATGTAAATAGCTATTCAATACGGGTATACAATAGATTGCTGAGGTCAAGAACGTTAGTAAAATAACTTAAAACAGAAAGTAGCAGAAGCTTGAGGGATTTAAAGTAAAGTAACAAGAATTTGAAAGTAATTAGTGAACACTACCTCTTCCGCCTGCCAAAAATCACAATATAGCCAAACGATAGTTTTCTTATCCTGTAAAAACAAGTAATAAATATATCATTCAGTTTATCAAAAAAGCAGCTCACGTTAATCTAATAATACGTACGTATAAGTACTATGTATTAAAGCATCCATGACTTACAAACTATACGCAGCTCGTATCGCATAACAGTTAGCAAATTACCTCTTCTTTAATAACAGCTTTACAATTAGGAAATGATCCTTCGGATAACAATTCGCACAGTCTCGGCCAAAATTCTTTCGCAGTGTATTTTCCTGTGACAGTATCATAAAATTCGTATGATAGAAATAATAATTTTCATGATAATAACGAGCGCAGCAAGTTAAGTTTTTTACATTATAGTGCATATCCATTTTAAATTATGCACTGTTTAATATCTTTTACCTGCTTTAGAACAGGAAATAATCCATTTACCACGAGTCCACTTCGAGACATTGCCCAGTTTCTCTTTGGCAAGGCTATATTCTTGACTTAAATTACTACTAACGACAGATGATGTTGAAGTTGTAGCCATAGACACACACCACTGCTATTGATTGAAGTAAGATTAAGGAATAAACGTAGGTTATATTAAGGCAAATCCTTCAGATATTATTCATGAATGGCATAGCCATGTACTACAATCTTGAATCTCTTGATTTCAAATATGCTAGTAAGCGTGAGCAAACACTGGAGTGATATACAATAAATGTAGCCTAAACTTGCTTACAGGTTTCCATTCGGTATCTGTTTCCTTAGAACTTGAAATATCGCTGTCAATTTTCCGTGGTAATAATGATACGTTCTCGTGTTGCTCATTTTTACGTTTCACAGCTATTGTGTCCTGGCGGTCTAATTTTTAAAGGAATTAATCATACTTACTGTCGCTCCAAATGAAAATACGTGTGTAACTTTCATGTTTTGTTGTCACAAAATGATACTACAGTAAGTACAATGAATGGTAATTTCTATGAATAATAACAATACGGATCCATGCACTGTATGAGACACAAATAGAAGATATTGTTGATTAAGCTACTTACAATTGGAAATCTCAACAGTAGGTGGTAACAAACGAGGCACAAATGCCTTAAATGTATGGCAGTCTACAAAGTAGCAAAATTGAGCAGGAATATTATAGATGACTGTTATTTATCATCATTTCATCACTGGTAGAAAGTTGCATTACATGTTAGACATAAACAATGTGCTGGTTATACTTGTGACTACTAGTAGGTGATGAGTGTCATGTAATGACTGTATAAATATACATGGACTACTAGAAGATGTCCAGTAGCCCATGAAATACATAACCAAGACCTTAGTGACTTACATACTCAATTTGGTAGTATGTGTATGTAATATTTTGACGAGTATTGGCATTGCAATATGCAATGTGTATATGCATGTATAGTATAGTAAATTTCTTTACATTCTTGCAAGCTTTCTGCAAATCAACAATCGATCTAACTTTAGCGTACTGCTACTTTACTCAGATTTTAAATTTGATCTTATGTTTACAAATTTGGGTACATTTCGGCCGATTGCCAGAATGTACCTTCTAATGAAGTGCTCTTACAAAATGATATTAGGTTAAAAGCATATATGCTTGATACCACAGTGGCGTTGCTACTTTAATGAGACAGAAAAGTTGCTTGCTGTAGTGGAATATAACATGTACTTTACTCGTACATCGTACACGCGTATATACTGTATTCTGCAGTAGAAGTCCAAGGTATAACAAGACAAGTATGTATTACGTTCATTAGCATTTAACGAGGACAGTACAATTATATATGTATATATTATATTATTTATTATTATTATTACCATTCCAGAGAGTAAATTTTCGTTTCTGTTGTCTGTCTGGATTACGTTGTTTATAATAAATCAATCTTTGAAGCTGCAGCACATTGAATACTCCACTGCTACCTTTTTCTTGACCTGTTGGCCAGTGCATAGCAACTTCTAAGTAGTCTGCAGCATTTTCCATCGCGTTGATAGAGCCATGACAATATACGGGTACCAAGAATGCCAAAATGCAGCTACAAAGAATGAGAATTGAAGGTTGGGTTAATCAAGGTAATTAGACTCACACTGTACGTAATTTACAGTCAAGTGTTCATTCTTGTATACCGTAGTACCAAAACATATAGTGTCCGTTTTTAGTTTGTCTATGGTCAAATCATAGAGGTAATGATTGGTTGATTACAATACAGTACTGTACAGTACAGTACTACAGTACAATCACATGGTGCTGTACTCAGTGTACTGTGGGCCCGCTGGAATTGTCACCTTATCGAGACATGTCAACAATATCGTTTATTCTGAAGTTTTCGATCACTGATATATTATTTTTTCATTTTTATCAATTAATTGTAAACAGAAGAAATGTAATGTACTGTACATGCATCAGATTTTTCGAAAAATACAAGCATGGCTATGAAGTTATCTACAAATTAATTTAATTTATACCGTACACGCGTATAATAATTATTATACAATGCACCCTAAAATCGATTGCAGAGACTTGCAAGAGAATTTTTCCTAGAAACTTCTACTTAATCCAGTAAAACCCCACGATATCTCTGGGTAGAAACAAGTTGATTAAGCCATGCGCTGAATGTTGAAAAGCAATCGGAATCCACCTATGCTATAGACGAAGTTGATTTATGCTAATTATTTCAAAATTGGACAACCTACAGTACGCTAGAGACTCTCTAATAGGGTCTCTTAACTGCACACGATCCAGAGTACAGTACAGTACTGTACAGTACCACTATGAGTCGTTGATAGACCTGGTCACTCTAAAAACTAAGATACAGTACTGTACAGTACACTGAGTACAGTACACTAGTTAATAACAGTTTACAGTACAGTATATGGTACAGTACAGTACTGTACGGTACAGTGTAGTGTACTGTACAGTACTGTACTGTGTAATTATTCCAGTACAGTACAATACAGTATACAGTAATTACAATTATCGCGCTCACGTGCAATTCTGTAACGAGAAGCCCCACCCGTTTAGTGCAAAATCCAAATCGATACAGTACTTTCCTACAGTACTGTACACTGTGCAGTACAGTATGTACTGTAGTTTTCAGTTCAGTCACGTTGAAAGTACTGTACAGTGTACAGTACAGTACTCTGTCTATGGGTACCAATACTAAACAAATACGTTATTTATTTAGTAGCAGCTAATTTGGGTGTCAATCATGTACTGAACAGTGTTCTATCTGCACGATACAGTTAAAACTAGTTGAAACGACCAGTAAAATAGTTGGCCTCTCCATTTTGAGCACAGTAAAAAAAGTCCATTTCCCGTCCCTCTCTTTCTTTTTACTGTCAAGGTAGTGGTTCTGCGTGCTGTACATACAGTACAATAAGTACTACTTGTACAGTACTGTACTGGACATTTGACTACAGTCAATAGTACTGTACTGTACGTACAGTACAGTAGTCCATGGTAGTGTACAGTACAGTACAGACTACGGTACTGTTCAGTATTTGCTAAATGGGTGATTTTGGGTTTTTCACATACATGTACAGTAGAATGCATTCTGACTAAGGCAACAGCACTGTGGAGACACTTCAGTTCTAGTACTGTACAGTACTGTACAGTGCAGTACAGTACGTACTGTACAGTACTGTACTGTATTCACTAGGGTCATGACCTATAGGATTACAGTACAGTACGATTCACTCGTGTTTACTGTACTGTACAGTACAGTACCTCTACCGCACAGTAATGTACTGTACACTGTACAGTACTGTATTGCTTAAAGCTGCTTAACTGCTTGATTTGAACTTGTAGTACTGTACACTAGTGTACAGTACATTTGTAAAAGTTTAGAACTAAGATACAGTTCAGTACAGTACAATGTACATTTATTTTCAATAAAAGCATTCACGGTAAGTGATTGTGTGAACACGTCAGGAACATTATTTGTTATGTTATAATAATAATTATTATTATTATTATTACAGCATATTATAAGAAAGTTACGGCATCGGCCATAGGGGAAAAAATGAACTAGAAGTAGGATTGCTGGACCTCATTTTTGTCTCGCTTTATTACAGCTATAATACGAAAAGTTGTTTCTCATTTTTATCACGACGCCACGCTGATCACTTTTAGTATAGTACAGTATTGTATTAATGGTTTCCTACAGTACAGTACTTCAGCACTACAGTACAGCGTACTGTACGTACTGTACTGTACTGTACTGTACTGTAGCTGTTAACAGACGCTGGGTCCATCATTACAGTGAATAAGTCATCATGTACAGTACTCCCACGTCCATACTGTACACTACACTGTACAGTATGGACGTCAAGTGTACTGTACACTGTACTGTACAGTATGGACGTCAGTGGTGCGCATTTTTAGAGGCTGTCTTTGACGAGATTGACAACTTGCCAATCAATACTGTTCAATTTGCATAATTTCGCCCACCGTAGAATTTGTACTGTACGCCGCGCCGCGTTCAGTACCAGTATGAGGCAACAAAGTGAATCGACCTGGTCGAGCGAGAGTGGTCGAATCACCCCTCTCAAGTGTGTGACAGTACAGTACAGTAGAAGCGACGTGAAGTCGACTAGTGTATTATTATGAGTCAGTGTGAAAATCAGCCGATCAAAATGGCGACGAAGACAACTGCAGTGTTAGAAAGTAGCCTAACAGCTATGGACTGGCTACACCGAATTAATGTAGGAGAAAATAAAGGTGTACAAGGTCAATCTGGTAATGAAATGGATGAAAATGATAAAAAAGGTGGCCATCACTCCGGTCAACACGACGGTAATAAAAATGGTGCAAATGGACCAGATGGAAAACCTCCTTATTCTTATGCCAACTTAATCATGTTGGCAATTAACAGTTCCCAGAGTAAAATGATGACATTGAGTGAAATTTATCAGTGGATTTGTGATAATTTCTCATATTATCGAGATGCTGGTAACGGTTGGAAGGTAACTTTCATTATAGCTTAATTAATGGCATCAGTACTTAGGTGGTCAATGAAGTCGTGAAGAGAAAATAAACCGACTAGAATAATAATACAGTGCAGTACAGTACAACACTTTGGCTAATAGAGTCAGTAACAGTAGTAGTCTGCTCCATACAATACTAGTAGGACTATACTAGACGCTATTAGCGGACGATGTAGTCGTAGCCAGTCGAGACTAGACGCCACTTCATTACAGTACTGCACTATATAGGCTGCAAATGAAGGCGTGAAAGAGCTTCTCTGAATGTCCTTTTTTTTTAATGCAAGGGGAAATCGTTTTTTTGTTGTTTGTTTTGATCATTCACAAAATGGCTAGTGTGACTAAAGATTTTTTTTTCCTTATCCCTCCTCTCTTTTGCAATCAATGTAGAATTCTATTCGTCATAATCTCTCGCTGAATAAGTGCTTTCGTAAAGTGCCCCGTAGTAAAGAAGATCCTGGCAAAGTAAGTACCACTATCATTTGTATCTTGTTGGATCATGCCTTTGCATTACTGTATTATGGCGATAATGACTATCATGCGTTGTCACTGTTGGATGTTTTATTACTCATTGGATTTGTCCGTTGAATTCGACAATGTATCCACTTGAATCGATGCGCCATAAAAAAAAAAGGAAGAAAAAAATTCCTAATCGACACATCGAAGTGAGCGCCAATGATGCACACAGATTAGGCAATACAGTAATGTCATCCCTTCCATTGGAACTAGACTAATTAATGAACTCAACTCCATCCATGATCGAAAAGTAATCCTATTTTACGTATTATCATGCTAGTCAAAGACTGTGAAGGAGAGTACAACCCATTGCATCTTTTCCACTTTCAACCTCCTTTGGTTCGATCTAACAAATGCCATTGCACCAAAATTTCAACATTACAGTGGATAAAACAGTCATGGAAGGGGATGACTATAGTAACTAGCCCTTTCTAGCTTTCGTTTGTTTAATTGACTAAGCGATTTGCGTTATGCAAATGGTGGACTTTGAAGGGAATGCTCATAGTGTATATAGACACTATACTGCAAGTAGCGCCAGTTGGCTTGTCGTCTAATCACTACATCGTTTCATGTTACAGTCAAAACGCTATAGTTTGCGGTATAGAATGGTGAATCGACGTGTGATCATTGTTAAGGCGACAAAAAAAATATATACTTTATACTGTACCAGTTCAATCACTCTCCTCTCCCCTATTGTTTCGTCCTTTATAGTAGTAAATGTATTCAAAATTCAGTCCTATCATCCGCTTGTTTACATGTTGGTTGCGAGCTGATTTCCCCTTATGGCTTTCAAAAGAGGTCATAACCAAGCCTACCTGAATTAATTGACTGGGATACCTACTGTATAGTAGAATAAAGCCCTCAAAACTAGCGATAATTCAAACTAGTCGGGAATAAACGCAGTGTAATCTTCACCATTTTTCCTATTCAATTTTTCCATCATCGTCTGCCGTACCTTGACATCAGTCGTATTAGTAAACAGTAGAAAGATTCAAATCGGCATCATAACTTAGTAGCCTAGCATAGCATACAAGAAAAAGACGACGAAAATAGCGATATTTCAATCTTGGCAATACCTTTTATTAGACTATAACATTGCAATAGCAAATACAAGATCCATTTTCGACAAGAGCAGATAGTATACGATCGTTCATAGATTCATGCCGATGTACTGTAGTACCATTTTTGATGAATGTATTATTATGATTAGTGGGTTGAAAAGTTGAAAATGAGCGATATAATTCAATCATGGTTAGAAACAGATTCTCTCTCTAATCTACATCTTTTCTTGTTACGTCGATTTATCGGATGCCTTAGCAGTGGCATATAAATTGTATTCGCCATTACAAGATCAATATTTAACAGTAGACAGCATGTGAGATTGGAGAAGAATTCAAGTTGTCATACTGTAGTACGGTTATGCATTACCTTTGCTTTTTTAGGACATTGTAAAAAACATAATTTTGGATTAGATATTCAAAATTACCCATCCAATTTTTCCTTGAACCATCTATCATATCGACTCTACTTTAAATTACACTTTTAATTAATCATTAACACAAATAAAATACATATTATAAATATGCTACGCAAGCTTGAATGATTGAAGTCGACATGGTAGTAATTATCCTTTTGTCACCTTATGAAGGTTTCGTTAACTATTGAAAGAGCACTATAGTAGATGCAGTAAATAATGACTTGCTACTTCTATATGTGACTTTACGTATGCAAAATTGTACTTTAATCATCTTTATCGATATGGCATTGAATTGATTAGTGTTCTTTTTTTTTAATAATCTGTGTTAGTTATGCAGTATATTTGGTTATAGCAAGGATTGATCAGGAATAATTTAGTTTGCTTCTAGTAGCCGTTTTTTTAATTTGGCAAGCGTAGATTAATGGAGTAGTGGTGAAATAGGATGCCCGCCCGACTAGAGGACCGTACAGATGAAATAAACCATGTAATCAATCCTACTCGTAGCCCTTACTGGAATAGAATGAATCCTTCCATTGACATATGCAATGTCAATCACCTTACTTCATAAACTATCGCCATAGACTATCAGCGTTGAAGGACTACTTAGTAGATGGATTATAGTCTACTCGTATATTATTATTTAATACACGACCGTTGGTGAATAGGACCCTACTTAAATTGATCATTTCACCTGTATAAAAACTTGACAATATTATCCACAGCCGTAAATAGTGATAGTTTGTATAATACAGTACAGTAGAAAGAAGTTTACACTGGCACTGCTTGCATATTTATTAATGATACCATGGTGAACACTTTCATCTAGGGTTCTTACTGGACGATCGATGCAGATCCGCAAGATGACGCTGGATCACGCTTGAAATCCAGGAAGCGTAAATCAAATGATCGCGTAAGTATCAACTTAGAAAGTCTGATATAACAGGCAATGCTTGAACACCGTTATAGAAGCTTAGCTAAGACTGGTTATTATTTCATCAACTTAACTATTACGGGTGATAGTGAGCTACGACTAATTGCCCTTGAAAAAATTTAATATTCTTACATCTTAATAATTTTAATATTCAACCGATATATACTCCCATGGGCAGTACGTAACTTACCATACCGGAACACTAAGATAAATATCCAACAATCCGCTTGGATAAAGCTTACTACATTGATCAGTTCAATAGCTTGACTTATTGTTTCATACCCATAGTAAAATACTTATACAAGTGAATTATTTTTTATTTAAATTTTGTTTTGTCTACAATTTTTTTGATCGTTACTTACAATGGGGATATCAATGGAAAAATTTGACGAACTTTGGTATCGTTGAACTTGCTTACTGTAGTTACTATTTTAAATTGGACCTAACTCCTTTCCTGATACAGCACAATCATATGCTTGATATGAAAATGATCTCGTAAATGCGACTATCGTTGTAAAGTAATATTATTTCGACATGACACGATGTAATTCCAAGTTAACAGCCGTTACTATTGCGGTATGTTTAAATAAACTTTACCCTTGCCCCATTGATAAAAAAATTACTCAAGAATTACATTTTCCTTTTTAAACATTAGCATCACTTATAAATTTGACAGTAGAATTTAATCAACAGTTATCGATATACCCTTTGGTGTAGTTTAGCTTTACAGAATACCCTGATGCTAATGAAATTATTACAACTGTAAATTCGTAAAGTTTATGGATCAATTTTAACCATGGCAACTATTTGCGTAAAATCTTACTAGACACAATTGTAGTAGTTAATGCATGTAAAGGGGCGGCGCACCCCCAACCATCATTCACTTTGTTCAATTTTGAAGATATCATCTTAATTTTTTTTTCCATTTTAGCTAAGTTAAGTATGGGCAGATTTGTTCTATGGGTACGGGTTATTTAAACTCCTACTATCGATATTGTAATAGCGAAAAATGCAAAACGGTGATCCACCTCTTGCTGCAGCTGTTTCGATTGATTAATTTTTAAAAATCTATGACAGTAGCCTTACTCCTTCTGTTTGAATACGATCATTAGCATTTACTGGGATTGTACAGTAATGGCAGTTATTTGTTTGGATATGATTTATTCACTACTTACCTAATTAATATCTATTAATGAAAGCCTTACTAACTGAACTTGGATCGAATTGAAGTGGGGAAAAAGCGATAGCTAGCTATACCAGTATAAAGACTACGTTGTCATAATTATCCTAGTAATACTCTATTGCAGTGTTCGATCTATTGTTTATCATCGAAATTCACATTTTTCATCAAAATTTTTATCATTAACTTCCAGCTATAGTATGCGCTAGTGACCCGTACTAAAAGATCTTTTTTAGTACATAGTCAGTAGAGTGCACTGCTACATCGTCAATAAAGAAACAACTGTACTCGTATGCATAGTGGTAGAATAGCAACTAGGAAAAAATTTTCATTATATCAAGCATAATACTGTAGCTGGTTTAATACAATACAATACAGTGGACTCATAAATTATAGTAGACTGTAAATGGCATATAGAATGGATGTCTAAATTATTTACCTTTGTTTCACATTATGTCGCACCTTATTCACATTTTCATATAATATTGACCTATTCCATCGACAGTGTTGAGAAGAGTAGAAAAAAATCAGTTCATAAAATCAATCCCTTTTGGACACTGCGATAGTAGGCATACCAAACAATCATAAATTTTATATTGCTTTTACTCGGAATATAAGCACATATGTCGTACGACACTGGAAAGAAATTGATCTCGAAGCTGTTTCTTATGTGCACTTTAATTCAAATCCATTTATAATTTAAATTAAAAAAAAAAAAATCATCTATATAAAAAAACTTCCCTCATTACTGTATTAACCCCATTTATTGTGTGTACTTTCAACCAGTCAGTTGCTGTGATCGTTTTTGACCCGGTATTGTTAGCTATTCAGTTCTTAATTAATTGAATACAACTACAGTATATTGATTTTATAAAGTCGGAATGATGATGATGATGATAATACACATATAATTAATTGACACTTAGATTGTATACAATCTTACATGCATATATTCGATTTGAATATAGTTGCCTTCAATTTGAAGGTAACAGATTAATTTCCATATAGATTCTACTTGTTGGAAGTACTACAGAAGAATTATCATTTATATTTTTTGATGCTTAGATTGCCCTTTTCAGTTTAAGAAACAACCCTTTGTGTACACAGGAATTTATCATTCAATATAAAATAATGAGTTCATCTTTGCTTCCGTTGGTTAAAATAGAAATTAGACAAAGTAATCAGATGCTGCGCAATACTTAGATGTACAATGTCGTGCTAGATGATAGCTTATTAGTATGATCAATTGTCTATATTTTATTCCATATCAGGATTAGTAGATATGCAACATACGGTAACTGCTTGTAAATAAGATAATCTTCTATGCGGCCAATTGAGCGCTACGACGAAATCGAAATCATTGAATAATTAATTAATTCATTAATCAACTCATGCTTCAAATAATGTACGATTTGATGTAAGCCAATTTATAATCTAGACTATAAATCATTGATAAGTTTAGCCATGTTTTAAGTGTTTCAGAAGCATACGTCCTGTACATCAATTTTAATGCATTATTATTAGAACAATGATAATTCCAAGAATTTGCTACAAAGTCCTAATCAGACTTTCTATTTCCACAGCTTAGTGCTATAGTTGTCATTATTCTTTGAATTGTACTGTAGTTTCAGAGAAATGATATTGTTCTTATTGTCGATAGTTCATTATAATATGATGTACGTATTCCAATTCCCAAATTTATGCCTTATACGCTTTCGGTTGATTATAAAATTGCTGGGTAGACTTTTTCAAGTCATTCTTTTCTTATATGGAATCCACCTAAGTATAGGTTAAATACCAAGTTTCGAAATGATACCACACAGTGATTGATGTGTAAACTTACTTTTCTGTCTGATTTGAAGCCTTACTTCTAGCTGGTGCTTTACGTCTTTACATTTTTAAATTATTATACTTGCATCGTAGTGTTTATGTATGGCTAACTGAGTGCTTCGAAGTAGTTTATGACAATTTAAACAATATATTTTCTTCAGTAGCATGCAATACATTATAAATCATCAAATTATCAGATCGGACTTCTATAACATATATCTACTGTATCATGATTCATGATAGATTTATTGTTGTATGTCCAATAGCTATAACATTTTTTGGAAGATTATAGATATTAAATATAATCATACGTAATGATTTAAGATATACTGTACAGTTGTTACCATTATGTGAAAAAATTGTAATAGACTCTTTGGTAAGGCAATTAATAACTACCCATTATATCATTTTTACATCGCTATAAACTAGCATATTGATAGTAGTAGTATTTTTATTATGTCTTTTTTATAACTGGAAGCTTCTTTTAGATGAAGTGATGGCGGTTACTGTACATATTAATAAGGATATAGACCTATCTCCATCTGATGATAATTTTTGCTTATCATAATACCGTTCTACGCTATTTGATGTGAGCAGATTTAAATATTAAGAATTACTAGATTTCTCTACTATTCTCTCTGAATTAATGCTATTAATATCACTTCCTTGCATTGACTGAGTCCAATACTTTGGTATTGTAGTAATATTACTTATAATTTACATTTATGATGCGATAATAAATGAATATTATTTGACTGCATTCTAAGAGTAATGTAGTTTTCTTTTCTGGGTTTGTTTTTATATTTTTTTTCGATGATATATTGAGGACTTTTCTAAAGCTTGCTCTATTATGAAGCACCTTTTATTCGTATGATAATGTTGACTAATATCTTTAATGACTACTTTAATTTTTCATTATTTAGAGCTCTCCGTATATGCCAGACGATGGAACTCCACCTTTACCACCTGGTAGACCATTGCAAGGTGGTATTATGACTAGCGATGCTAGCATGGTTTCGGCAGGAATTGTAAATCAACAACCATCTCAATCATTTGCTGATTCTAATTTTTTGCAAGATTTAAGTTCATCGTTTAGAAGTTTATACAAAACTGTATTTTCGTTGGATAATAGTATTACCGAAAATGGGACTATTAGTGGAAATGATCAGGTATTAACTGCAGTTAACAACCTTGGCAGCAGTCTAGATAATCAGAGTACAGTCAGCATGAATAGCTATGATTCTCGTAACTCGTCGTTAGCTAGTCCACAACATCATCATCAACAGCATCACCACCATCAACAACAACAACAGCAACAGCAACGCAATCCGATGTCGCTACACCAACAATCTTCGAGTATTGAATCACCTTTTATCGAACCAAATGGCAGCATCAATTTAAAGTCTTCCGCTCACTTATTTTCATCATTTAGCGATGTTATACAATCTTTCACTGATTCAAGCTATTGGCGGAATGCCGATGCTGATGCTTTTCGTGGTTTGATGGATAGTATGAAAACTGCAGAAAGTAAAAATTGGATCTTAAATCAAAGCCAGTTTCTTAATCTACAAAATTCAATGAATTACTTCAATTCTTCCCTCTTTCGATCACAAAACGATAGCAATGGTAATTGTATAATGGATAACGGCAACACTGGTGCTGTTCATACCAGTTATAATTTGAGCAATAGTGCACCAACCATTACCAGATCGGACTTAGGAGGTCAATCTAATATGAATGGCAACTTTCAGCAGCCGAATCGACCTCATCAACAACAGCAAGCCCAAATGAGGCAGTTATCACGTAGCGCAAACGCTTCTTTTTACGGCAATGTTAATAATATGAATCAAGTAAATTATAACAACAATCGTATGGCTCAACTACAAGATTCGCAGAGATCTCATTGTTCCCTGGTTCGTAGAAGTCCAAGGATAGCACGTAATCTACAGTTATCAAATGGATCAACTTCCAGTCGTTCATCTTATCCTGAATCGTACAATAGTAGTGGTTATAAATATCCCCGGCCTTTACAACGACCAAGTAGTGCTCAATCGATGCATAGTTCTAATGGATCTAATGTATCAATACAGCAGCGCCCATCAGCAATGGGACAGGTGCCAATGCCAACAGTACCAATGATGCAGACTAATGTGCAGAATGCGGCAGAGGAAGATGAAGATGACTTTGATTGGGCGAGTATTATGTAAGAGCAAATGATTAAATAATTTGTAAGTTTTTTGTTCGCTTTAATCCACTTAGAACGACAAAGACGAATACAAGTACATACTTTTTTTGTGTATATATATTGTTGCCAAGTTAGTGGCTGTTACATTGCGAAAGTTTAATTTTGTGGTATGATCTGTACCAGCTTGTTCAACGAGCTAGTGTAATGTAAAACCACCTGTATCATGTATAATGAAAGATGGGTTCATGTTATTAGTTTACAGTTAATCACGAAGATCTGAAATGTGCGTTATCTTACTTAACTTTAATTTAAATCCTGTATCGATAAATAATAATGGCATGGTCTTTTATTGCTTTATCTTGGGATTTGTTACTCCTCGATTCTATGTCTTTCAAAATATTGGAGTGAATGTACAGTAGATAGATCCCTAGTGTACAGTATATTCATAGGCTTGTGTAGATTACATATTGCATTTTTTGGCCATGACAAGATGCAATTATGTTGGTATTCAAAGTTTTGTTTTTTTCTGCTTGGCCATGTTGTAGTTATAGTATATCAGGATTTCTATATCATTGATATATATATATATTGATTGTTAGTAGACTTTTAGAAGTACTTAATTCTCATCTTTACTAATGAGACGAAAGAAAATGGTTACAATTTTGTGTCTTGTTGTCTTCATATTATTACAGTAATGATGATATGTTGCGATCTCTATGCAGTTTTGTTTAATTTATTATGATAATACAGTAACTACTTTAAATCTACGTTATGTTCTACCTTATACTGAATGAAACACGATTTCATTATTGTTATACATTTAAACTGTTGCACCTCGAATTGTTTAACGAAGGCATCAGAATTTAACTGCCTAAAAGAGAAGGCGATGACAGTAATTGTTAAGAAAATTAGTTGAAAAATTAGAATCGTAAATGTTATATTTATCGTTAAGATCCAAAATTGAATAAAGTTAAAATATTTCTTGACATTTTGCAAACGGAATTTTTTTATACCTATTCCCTGTAGTACTTGCATTTAATATCGCCTCATTTGGCTATGATTTTAGGTTTATTTTATCGATATATGTAGCGAGCTTTGACAATGATACTCGTATATTAAATAGCAAAACTGAGGCTTTTTGATAATCTTCATTTATATAAAAATGATCCATATACAGTAGTCTCTAAGACCGCGGTACATCATACTTTTAATAGCCCATCAGATATGTCCATTGTATAGTATTAATCGTAACAGTAGAATTAAATAAAACAATTCGAACTAAAGTAATTTATTGCGCAATAATATAGCTAGTTAACTAGCTTCCAGTTTGATTGGGTGATTTAGAAAGTAATTATCATTGATAATTACTCTAATTACATGAGTCTATCTATTTACTAATGGACAATTACATGCACATCTAAAATTTAGAATAGAGTATTCGTATACAGACAGTATCAAGAACATTCCGAATAAATCTTTGCTATTTAACAATATTAACAAGTCCAATGATCACGATAATATCCATGAGCTATGCTTTCAGCGCGTATTATATAAGAATATAGGTATGAATACGATATTGTTCTGAATAATCTGGTTAAGCAATTGAAAATTATAACAAATTTGTTAGTAATGTTTGCCGCCGGTTGCTAATAGTGTTGAATGCACGCCGCTATGCAATATGCAAGATATCAGCCGCACGAATTTATTAAATCAACAGATTGGTGAATCCTTGAGAGTAAATACATATAAATTCTTCTTTATACTATTTGATATCATGCACCTGAGTACTGATAACGTTAAAGCTTTACTACTGTATGATGGAGGGAATTTCACAGTCCAGAATTTATTAACTTCCTGGTTAAGCAAATGCTTAAACGCAGTTATCAGACTTGATATCGTTATATAGTTTCAGCCAATGAATATTGTTCGTATTGAGCTGCTGGTGTATACGAGTAAAAAAATATGAAATACTCGATACAACTCATGAATTTACGGTGCTGTAGTAAATTACTGTTTGTGCAAATGCTAGAAAACCCGATAAAAGACTTATGTTATCCATAAGTATCAATTGCCAAATGATTTGAATGTTAGGAGGCATAAATGAAATAATCAGCTAATCTACACATTTGCTGTATGTAAGATCTTAGACTTTCGACTCTGATAATTAATTTACACGTATACGCTGATAAAACTGCAGCCTTCATATCTAATTTATTGGTTATAGCATGCAACTAAATTTTCTTGAACATCACTCTAAAGCTGATATGTGAATATTGAACTCTTAGCAAGATAAAGCCAAAGTATAACATCTTATCCATCCATAATATAGTGTCTACGTTATAATACCCTAGCTTAGATAACCCTAAAGGACTTCTGATACGTCATTCTCAGCTATAGTTATTTTATGGTATTTTTATACTTTTAAGAGCTAAAACATCAACTACAATACATGGACTAGCCATTCATATTACAGGTCAAGCACTAGCATGCCACATTAATATTAGTCGCATAAAAGCATCTAATCCAATGCATTCTAGCATGTAATCCACGCACTACTGGACTATTACAATAGTATACGAGTACTACAAATTAGCAATGCTTAAAGGATAGATACATATGATTTCGATGCTGTGTTTTTAATTAATCTATAAAATGTCATCTATTCTTTCCTTTATTCTACATTTTTATAATGGGATGTTATCTAATTAGATAATAGGTAAGCATTTTTTAAACAATAGCCCACGCTATAGATAACAATATATCATTTGTTTAGAGAAGAATACTATCCATCCGCCTCTGGGTTGTCAATGACGCTAAAAGACCCATTCTTCCACTTCATCAACATAGCTATCAATCTTATGCCAGATAGAATTAGCATTTTAAGTACTCTACGTCAGAACTAACAAGTTAATAGACTATACGATGATCAAAGGAGACTGTAAGTTATACTATATAACCGTTTGTATCATAATTGCCATAATATAGTCTTGAAAGCTTGTGTCATCTTACAATAAATTCCATCTTTCACAGATTAATTACGTTCAACCGCACGAATGAATAATTATTTAAGTGGCGATGGCTGCAATTCTAATCTAAACTATTTCAAGTACTGATAATTTCGTTAAGTGAGAAAGGTAAGAGATAGGCAGAAATTTGGCGAGCTTAAAAGGAATGTGTTTATTAGAATCAGCGATTTTCTTGTTACCCTTACGGTAGTCAACTTGCCCATTCACCAACTTGTTATATTGTTATCTTTAGTCTATTATTAATTGAAGTAATTACTATATCATTACATGTACGTATATATATAAATAATATACTGTATACTAACGCTGTTGTTATGGGCACCACAGCGCTAACGTGAATCAACATAACACTGCCATCGACTATGTTGTTAATGATGTTAAGCTTAAGCTGATTCGACTGCGGTAATATGAATAAAATAGCGACGCTTAAGTAATGCCGAAATATTTTTAAAATGATAGATAAAATGATCGACTAGCATGATGAAAGGAGAAACGATATCATATACTCCTTCATTTTGGATACGAATCTACTACATCTTATAGCTTCGATCATATCTATTTCTTGTAAATATACATTATTAAAAGCATTGATAGAATAGAATGTTAGAAACTTCTACTTCTAGAGAAGGTGGACTTGTAATCGTATAATGATTAGAAAATGATGGATCACTGAAATTCGTACATCTATGTTATCGGGGTCAACAATATCTTATAAATCACTTTACTCTTAATAGAACGTGGGTAATATTTGCGATGATGTAAATATTATCTTCTGCTATGAATACTACCACTACATTATAGCAACTATGAATCGAGGTTCTTAAGAGGATAGCAGAATAGTTCAGGGCATCCGCTAGCTGAATTGTTGCTAATCCTTCCGATAATATGATATAATCTGAGTTAGACTGTACATTCGATCATACAGATGAAGTCATTCTTATGCTATACAGCAATATGAACAATAATCTTAATGTACGAGTAATGTACGAGTATAACCGTTTCCATGTTACGAATTTAATTGTTGCTAACATACCATTACAAATTTAATTTAAGAATTCATATTGCGATGAAAATAAAGTCAATCTTATATTAATAAGAATGTAACTTTCCTATAAATTAAAATTAAATCATGGTGTAACTATTTCAACCCGCAATTAAGGCATTTCTTATCCTATCGGTATAACGTTAACCTAAACATTTCATATAACAGAACTAAAGTTAGAGCATTTTAAAATGTATAGTCCATCGTAATGTTTCGCTATAGTAATAAAATTAAGCTTCTCAAGTCTCTAAGGACATCAATTATTCGAAACGATACTGATTTTAATATTACTAAGTAGTTCTAGGAAAGATTTTAAGTTTCAGTTATCATTTTAAATCCGACTATTTTATTACTAGATGGAAGACGAGGAGATTCAACAGATTAATAAAAGATTAGAAAGTGATGGAATAGATGCAACTGCTACTGCTGAATTGAAATTGCGATATGTATGGAGGAAATTATGCCAAGCTGAAGAACAATTGCAACATGCTATGCAAGATATTGATGATATCAATGATCGCCATTTTAACGAAAAATCTCAACTGGAAGATTATTTACAACATTGCCAAACGTTAATGAATGAATTTCAAGAATATACCGTTGAGATGGCTAAAGCAAAGCAATCAAGCGCGAATAACTCTCACAATTCAAAATTTTCCGCCTATTCAGTGATTAAATCCAATATTAGTATGTCGACACCATTAGCTAAAGGTCGCAATGGAGTTTCTAGTCCATCCAGTACCTTTAGCAGCCCATATATCAGCCCTAGAGAAGAGAAATATCGAGATATAACCAACACGAATAAGTCTTCCATGGATTCCGTCCTAGCTAATATTAAGCTTGAGCAAGTGCAATGTTATAACGATGAACTAAAGGAAAAAGTAATTACAACAGTAGATTAACTTTTAGCTGACTTTTAAAAATGAGGCTTATTTAATAACTTTATAAATTGTT